CGCGCGCACACACCAAAATTAATGTAAACAATGCGCGCGCACAAAAGTATCAGCATTTCTCATGCCCAAGAGTTATCTCTCTCGCACCCACAGAAATATCAACACTACTGGTTAGTGGAAGTACCAGTTTCCGTCAACGCCATCATAGATCCAGTCTATAGTGCGATCCATGAATTGAAATTCATGAGAATGCGCAAGCGCGTATTGCTTTATTTACTTTTGGGATCGGTGATTTTGCTTTTTTCCTCACAACGGCGAAATAGAAATGGCGAAAACAGACAAAAGATTTTAATATTCATAAAAAGTTTTATTACCGAAAAGTAAACATTTGAAACAGTACCGATTGGTTCCGAATTCAACCGATTTCGTACGAAAAATCTTCTTCTCTCCGTTAATTCTACCCTCCAATACCAACTGATTTTTTGTAAAAAAAAAAGATTACAATTTTGCCGTATCCCGTGAACCCCCCCTGATCCAATGCATCCATCAAGTTAAAACCATTAAAACCAGTTAAAACGGTTTTTGTTTGAAATTTTATCAGAAGTACCAATTGTCTAAGACAGTTCTGCCAAAGTATAACTTCTGAAGTTACTAATTATTACTTATTAAATAAACGTCTTATTAGTTAATTTTACTCATTTATTTCAAATGCAATAAATATAAATTTATATTTTTTAAATTTAATATGAGTTTATTTTATTTGAGTATAGAAAATTGAAAACATAGGAAAATGTTAAGTTGGTAAAGTTTGTTGTTTCTTAACTTCTATTGTGATTGTGAACATAACATAACCTAAGATTATAGTGATTTTAAAGAAATAAATTGAACAAAAAATCGCAACGATTCTTGAGAATATACTGAAAGAAAGAAAAAAACAATTTTTGTCTGTGTTTCAAGAGATGCAATACTAATCAAGTGAGATGCCAGATATCAAGGTTACACCTTTGGGGGCTGGCCAAGATGTGGGGCGCAGTTGTTTGTTACTTACAATGGGTGGAAAGAATATTATGCTCGACTGTGGTATGCACATGGGATACAATGATGAAAGGAGATTTCCTGATTTCAGTTATATTAATCCTGATGGTCCAATCACCTCATACATAGATTGTGTTATAATTTCCCATTTCCATTTGGATCATTGTGGTGCATTACCTTATATGTCTGAGATGGTGGGTTATAATGGACCTATCTACATGACACATCCAACAAAAGCTATTGCTCCAATTCTGTTAGAGGACATGCGAAAAGTGTCAGTTGAGAGAAAAGGAGAACAGAATTTTTTTACTTCACAAATGATTAAAGATTGCATGAAGAAAGTTATTGCAGTCACATTGCACCAGTCTGTTATGGTTGATAACGATTTGGAAATTAAAGCATATTATGCTGGTCATGTGCTGGGAGCTGGTATGTTTTGGGTACGAGTAGGAAATCAATCTATTGTTTATACTGGCGATTATAATATGACTCCGGATAGGCATTTGGGAGCGGCATGGATAGATAAATGTCGGCCGGATTTGCTCATCTCAGAGTCAACATACGCCACAACTATTAGGGATTCAAAGAGGTGCAGAGAAAGGGATTTTTTGAAGAAGGTTCACGAATGCGTGGACCGCGGAGGCAAAGTATTGATACCAGTATTTGCATTAGGCAGGGCGCAGGAGCTTTGTATCCTGCTGGAAACTTATTGGGAACGGATGAACCTGAAAGCTCCGGTTTACTTCGCACTCGGTTTAACTGATAAGGCCAACAATTATTACAAGATGTTTATTACATGGACCAATCAAAAGATTAGGAAGACTTTTGTCCAGAGGAACATGTTTGATTTTAAACACATTAAGCCATTTGATAGGCAGTTCATTGATAATCCTGGTCCTATGGTGGTGTTTGCAACACCAGGCATGTTGCATGCTGGGCTAAGTCTGCAAATTTTCAAAAAATGGGCACCATGCGAGAATAATATGGTCATTATGCCTGGGTTCTGTGTACAAGGCACGGTTGGAAATCAAATCCTCAATGGGGCCAAGAAAATTGAATTTGAGAATAGACAAATCATAGAAGTTAAAATGTCCGTTGAATACATGTCATTCTCAGCTCACGCCGATGCGAAAGGTATAATGCAACTTATACAATACTGCGAGCCGACTAATGTGATGTTGGTGCATGGAGAAGCAGAAAAGATGGAATTTTTGAAGGAAAAAATTAAGGAAGAGTTTAACATTAATTGCTTCAATCCGGCAAACGGAGAAACCTGCGTTATAAACACGCCCGTAAAGATACCATTGGACGTGTCCTTGTCGCTGTTAAAGGCGGAAGCCAAGAAATTCAACATGCTACCTCCGAATCCCGAAAGGAGACGCGTTCTTCACGGAGTGCTGGTCATGAAAGATAACACCCATTGCTTAATGGACGTGGAGGATGCCTGCAAAGAGGTCGGTATTAACCGGCATATTATTCGGTTCACATCGACAGTATATCTGAACGATTCCGGACCTCCTTTATCTACGGCAAAGAAGCTGCACCAATTACTCGAAGAAAAATTAAGCCAATGGAGCGTGACCATTTCCGATGTCGAAGTCTCCGTAGAATCTGTGATCGTCAAGGTGGAAGGCGACGAAAACGAGCAGAAGAGCATCTTCGTCTCATGGACCAACCAGGACGAAGATCTAGGAAGTTATATTTTAGAGTTACTTAGTTCTATGGCGAAATAAATTATTTTACATTTTTATTATAAAAATAAACTATATTTTGTGCATTCCTGATCATCTTATTAAAAATAGCGTATCATTGATTGTTTCGAAAAGAGCTGGCATATTGAACGTATCTGCTAAATGCTGGAACGTATTTAATAAATCGATCAGATCTTTCTTGGACAGAATTCCTCGGAATTCGCCCGCGCATTGGCAATGTTTGATCAGATTTTCCATCTTGATCTGGACGCATTTCTTACACTGCAGATCCTGTAAATTGTACGCAATGAATTTTCTACTGATCGTATCCAGCAGGAGGCTCTCGATTTCCGCGTTATCGTACGGCGAGTTACACAACGGACAGAGCCAGGCGTGCTCGGACCTATGATTATCTCTCCCCAGGTCCACGTCTCTGCAGTGGTTGCACGCCTTGCAGATCAACTGCGGTATTATGTAAGAGACGGTCGGATCAGTCCACGTCGCTTTTTCGGAAAACTCTCCTACACCTAAATTAAATATATTTTATAATTAAACATAAATTATCATAATTAAAAGTCGCACCAAACTTGATTTGTGTGAAAAACTATAGTAAAATTACAGATTGTTATCAAAATTCACATATTGAGAAATAATGCACGTTGAATAAATAAAAACCATAATCAGACAAATGATTCATTTTAAAACTAGTAGTTTCATAATATTTTAAATATTTTATAAAAATATCTAATGGTTAACGTAATAATACAAAATTGCGAATTTAAATAAATAATTACCTATTAATCGCAAGAGATTGCTTTTTAGATGATCCACTGCATCTTTAACAGCGTGATCCAGTGATAAAACGTGGCAGATAGATTTCACAAAGTCCAAGGCTGGCATGGACGAGGAATTTTTCTGTAATTTGCTGTGGATTCTTTCCGTGATTCTGTAACGCAAGTATTTAGAAATTAAGCTAATTAGGGCCCATATTTGGGAACGTACTGGAACAAGTTCTGCGCGATTTCTCCATTTATAACTTCTTTGGCGAATGCCGCAACCATTTCGTGGGCAGCCAGTCCCACATTCGGTTGACTTAAAGCCACAATCGGCGTCGAACCTTCCATCTCTTTCAGCTTCAGGTAAATTGCGTTTATGTAACCGGCAATAACGGCGTTGAAGCTGCTTCGGCACCCGGAAGCCTCAGGTAATTGATCTGCCAAATTCCAGTTCATTACAACGACCGGCTGAAAAATAAAATATTACATCTACTTTCCAATATTTAATTGATGAATAAATACCCCGTCGTCTTCTTCTGGGACCACCGTCTCCTCTTCGTCGCGATCAACCAAATCGTCATTTTCATCTTGATTTTTCCGATTATTTTCATCCTCGGCGTCCTGCGGTAACTTTCCTTGAATTCCTGCGTAATTCGCAGTATCCAACCAAACTAATTGTTCCCAGCATTGACGATACGTTATTTCCAGTGAATGGAACAATTCTTTGTTTCTGATGGAAGCAACGACAAATTCGATATTGGCAATGGCATCCGTTACATTTCGCTTCTTGGAGCAAATTATAATTTTGTTAAAGTTTGCGTACACAATCGTACAACCCAAACGTTTAAACTCTGCAACCAATTGCATGAACAACTTTTTCATCAGATTTTGAAGCGTTCTTAGTAAAGCCGGATCATGGAAAAGAGCTTTAGGCGATCGGAGCCATCTGAAATTTGGGGACAGTTAGTAAAATTATAAATTAATTTTAGCAAATTATTTATAGACCTATAAAAATGAACCACTTGGAAATCGGCGAATACGTTTCTGTATAGAGAGATGTCTCGCATCCAAGCGCTGGCCATGGATCTAAGGATCTTGAAAGCTTCCGCGCATCTCGCAGTTTCATCATAAGTTGTCAACGTGTTGTTTCCGCCCACTAGGTCATCCACAGAGGTAACGTTAGCTGCGTCGAATGCGGTAGCAGCGCTGGTTCCTTCAATATCAGTGACATGATGCGATTGCAACAACGTATTTATTGCTAAACTGTCTATATCCAATTCGATACAGATGCTGGAATACCATCCCGCATTATTGCATACTTCGCTGGAGCCCTCCTGACTCTCTGCCAATAAGCGGGCGTTGTTCTCTTGGCTACCGCCCAAATCTGGACGGTCCAATGGTGAACACCACATCACGTGATTCTGTTTGAGCAAATGTCGAGCAAAGAACAAATCAGATCCGAACAAGGCAGGATCTGGAGGCATATTACCCAATGGTAAGTGGAAATATCGGCACTGCTCAGCCATTAATTCCAATACCCTCTCACTGTTCAAATAATGCCTCACCATAGCCCTGGCGCCGACCTTCTGCCATTCCAGGTTATTGTACAAATCCTCAACGTCTTGTACGTGCATCTGTGTTGTTGGAAACTCTAAGAAACCAGGCATATGCGATTGAAGCATTGATAAATCATCCACAGTCTGCAAAGCCAACAAAGTTGGTCCCTTCTTTTCATCTTTATAAGACTGCAAGGTTTTCTGGAGGATCTTGTACACCTGATTCAAATCCGTCTCAATGCGAATCTCGAAAAATATGCCATCCGGCGGTAACAAATCTTCATCTGGATTTCGTTCCGCCCTAAAGGTTTAGAAAAATTAAATAATAATTAAAATAATTAATTTATAATTTCTTACTTGACTATTCTCTCCGCTTGGTAGAGATTCTGCATATTTGGCATTAAATTAGTTCGCACTGAATCCACGACTACAATCATCGCTTTTCGGAGAGGCGTCAAGAATAGTCCGAACATCTGCCTTGGTCCGGAATTCGCGCGATGCTGGTACAAGAAAATATGTCGAATTGAGTCTTTCGGAAGGTAAGGTTGTCTAGCTACGCTTCCAATATCAAGATCATCCAATTCAAATGTATCAGTAGTGTTATTTAAACCTCGGACAACTTTACATACACAGCCTATCTGAACCAACGCTCTAAATATGGGCGGTACTTGGGTTTCGTACACGCCCTCAACATTTGGATCCGTCTGGTCCAAATATACTTTCCTATAAAAAAAATAATAATTAAAATAATATTAAAACTAAATTACAATAAAAACATACTTTCCGTGTTCTTGAAATAGTTCTTCAGGTACCGAGTACAAATACAAATTATGAACAGGTCTTGATCTGGGTAAAGTCCTATTACACTTTTTGAATAAAGCTCCTTCGTCCGCTACTTTTGGCGTTCGCAAATTAGCGTAGAACTTCCTAGGAACGATCAATTTAATCTGATGCAACTCCGAACTCACCTGAAAACAAGCTAATTAAATTATATATATAATCACTTTGAATATTACGTACTAAAGCCCAAAGTCTATATTCCCCAGGTGTGGAAGTTGGAGCAACTTGCACAATCTGCCAATTATTTATCATCAAACTGCGTTGAGCTTTCTGCAAGAATCCACCCAACGTTCCACTCGCTCCAGTTCGAATAACAGCGGAATTTCCAATTTTTGCACGTTTTTTGCTGTTCTCGCCGTTGGATCTCTGCAACGCTTGGTATTTCCACTTTTTCTTGTGGAACATTAACCAAACCAAATGTTCCTCCTAGAAATCAAAAAATAAATTATAAAATAGTTATTATGAAAATTAGATATTACTTTAGTTGTTCCATAGGGTGGTGGATTTCCAAGCACATCTTTCCAACTTTTTGCTAAATCAATATCTTCGAACTCGTTCGCCGACCTTTTCCTCTTTGTGACCACAGCAGTTTTTTTGTTAAAACCGGAAATTGATGGTCGTTTACTACAGGTATCTTCAATATCCGTAGAGATTTCAGGACAAGTACGTTTCGGCATGGCGGAGAACATGTCATCAATTCTTCTTTGCTTGAAATTATCGTTCTTCTCCAATACTTTCTTATGTAACCAATCGGGATGTCTCACCCTAGGCACGGGGTTTGAAACCTATAGTAATCAATTTCATGAATTATGTATTTATTATGTATAATTTACTCACGCCTTGCATGGCTGCTGGAATGGTGATGATTTTCTGTATGGCGCCACCCAAACGTTCAATATAATAATTCCAATCCAAAACATCTCTAATATCAATAACGTCAATGGTACTGTCTTTCAGCCATTTTCGCAAGAAATGCTTCTGAACTGCTTCTTCAGCTTGGAAAATCGCCAGTGGAATAGCGCGTTCCGTTACCGGAGCTCCGTCCGGTTTCTTGGATATAACATATTTGCAAGCTAAACCTGCATCCTTCACCATCTGATCTCCCAAAAATTCAGCCAATCTTTTAGCTGTGCTGATGGAAGTACTTTTTTGTTCACCGTAATCCTCCAACTTCCTAGACATAGATTTATTTTCCGAAATTAGATCGAAAAGTTCGGAATCGGGCATATTGCGACCTTGCGAGAATAACACGTCCAACCAATAATCAGCTACTTGGGCCACGGCGGCGTAGCACGATTCCAGCGAATTTCCTTTAAGGAAGGCTTCGAAAACCGAAGATTGAAAGTTTTTAATCAGCTGCAGTTCACCTCTCCGCTTGACTTCAAAACTATTAATAAATAATTATTTATGATTAGGAATTGAGAGCATTGTGATACTAACCCTTTTAATTCAGCCAGAGATCCGTCGAAATTGAAAACGGCGTATCGTTTCTTCAACTTTTTGCCTTCTTCTTTCGAAGCTGGTAAAACCATAGCTTTATACGGACCGTCGACTTCGAAGAAGATTGAATTTTCGCTGCGCTTCTCGTACTCCAGTTTATCGGCGTCGATTAAATCGAAGTATTGGTCATTAGTGAAATAATCTTTGACCATGGCGTTGAGAACGGTGTTTGGGTACGAGATATTCAGTTTTTTCTTGGTGGCGTGAATAGTGTGGATCGTTACGTTTTCAGGAAATGATGCAGGTAAAATACACCAAATACCATCGGTGTCCAATTCCAAAGGCCTTCCAACTTGTTCGATAATCTCACGAGCTCTCATAATAATATTAGCTCCAGTATAGCATACAATTCCAGCCATCTCCATACTGTGCCAGCGAGCACTAAAAATAATTACACAAAATTAAAATATAAATGAATAATCACCAATTTGTTAAATACTTACCCTTTTCTCATTACGTAGCCATAGAAGGAATTCAGGATACATTTATGAGCTAATTGCAAAGAATCGTACAGCACTTCTCGGCTTTTTGCCGACTTTATTTCCGTTGCATCGCCGCCTTTGATTGCATCAACAACCTTCTGCTTAGCCTTCTTAGACATAGCTTTATATTCGTACCTAATTATAATTAATTTAAAATATGTTATTTGTTTGTTTTATATATTTACCTTCTATCGCGGAAAGCCTTCACTGTATCGACGTAAAATGAGTTTTCCTTTTGGCAAATAGTTGTGTTCCTTTCCTCGATTCGCGTGATTTTCGCTTTTTTATATGCTTTCCTGCAATACACCGTCAAACGTTTCTTTTCTAAATCAGCCTGGTCCACTTTGCTCAATTGGTGAAACGCCCGCATAGGTCCGCCCGGAAATTGCGGAGGAAACTTTTCTGTTTCCAACTGTTGTTGAATCCTGTGATATTCGTTCCTTGATGCCGGCACTATGAAAATATTATGATACTTCTCGCAAGAGCAAATAAATTAGACTTACTGTATTCTGCTCTCCACATCCAGGCCATATTTCTTTGGCATTCCGCATTCGGGCCGTTGAAATCGCAAGCAGCGCAAATCGTTTCGTTGACCATGGCGCAAGGTTGTAGCCGGTTGGTTAAGATGATGTTAGGATACATAGCACCGACGTCCAAATGGTAAATCAAAGGTCTCTCCAATCGCATCGGTTGCTCTTTCAGTCCGGTCAATTTAGACTTAATCTCTTCGGTTACTTCCTCCAAATTCAGAACGTTATCCAAAGGAACGCCCTCTTCAATTTCTATAGCATGTGCCAAGGTCTTCGGGATTTGCTCAATGAGTTTATCGATAGCATCAGGGACCAATCTAAATCTGCACGGAATATCCGCTCTGAAAACTCCCGATTCCAAAGCTTCCACGTGACCCCCGACGTAAGTCTCCTGGTGCAATACGTGACCATCATCAGTTAACTTGTTTAACTCAGTTTCTTGTTTATTTGGAAACACAATATTTGCGTGGAAGGCTTCGACCATCAAAAGGGCTTCGCACAAAGTTCCCGAACCTTTCCGAAGAACCTCGTCCGGTTCGCAAGGAATGATTGTGCATAAGGCGAAAATGAAAGGATGCACATATTGCATATAGAGGTAATAGGTGGCAACAGCATCCGAAACGGAATAATTTGAGAGAACTTGCGGATTTGATGCGGCCAAAGGGCACATCTCTTCAGGATCTAATTCGACTGGATCATATCGCAATTTAGCTTTAGCCACGGCTTTCAAGCCGTGAGAACCAACTGGCAAATATGAATCTCTTTTTACCCAACAAAAGCAATCCATGTGCATTGCAGGACGACTCGTATACACGCCCTCTTTATTCTTGTAGAACCCTATCTCCTGTTTCATATCCATATCGTAGAAAGCGGCTCGTGCCTCCACGAAAGGCCAATCGAAGAAGTCTCCGTTGTAGGTGACGAAAATGTGTGGTCTCACGTCCATAATGTGATCGAAAAATTTTCTCAATAAATCCATCTCATTTTTCTCGTTAAATATTTCAAATTGTCCCTCAAACTCTGGTCTCGGAGTATACTCGAAATCTTCAATGTCTTTTGATAAAATTTCGCGATTCGTTATTAGATATCCTAAATAGAAAAATCATTGTTAACAGAACCTACAAAAACATAATTATTTTAAAACATACCTTGTGCATCAATCATGTATGAAATCATCATAATCTGATCAGTATTAGAGTCAGGAAATTTTAAAGGCAGTTTTGTTGTTTCAATGTCAAAGGCAAAAACAATTGGTTCAGGCCTTTCAATAAGCTCTTTGAAAAGTGTAATTGTTGGTGGGTCTTCATCATTACCACTGCCTTTTACTTTATACCAAGAACCACAAAATATTTTCAAATCAATAGACACTCGAACATGGTATGGTACATCATACTCCCTAAAAACCTATTGATAGGACCCTAATACATTTTATTTAGAATATTTTACTTGCCTAATATCTAAAATATTTTCTAAATGATCTGCATTGGACTTTCTGCTATGTTCATTGAGATTGCTTGTAAGAGCGTTTGTAAGCATTTCCGTATAATAAGTGTTAGCTTTCTCGCGTTCCTTATTTTTTCGCACAACAGAAACTATTTCTCTTCTCACTTTAATTAAATCAGTTTGATTGAAAAAGGATAACTTCAAGTAATGTTGTTTCAATCCGATTAGATGATTTGCCTAAAAGAATGATAATAAAAAATAAATTTTCTACATAATATTCAATGAAATACCAAATCCAAGTCATCTTTGCTGACTTGATCTATAACAACTGATGTATATTTTTTTCTTAGAAACTGTGAAACCTCCTGCACACAGCCCTTCCTTGGTAATATATAAAAGTAAGGCATAAAAGGGTAAGACACTTTGAACCTTGTGCCATCTTCTTGCATAAAATAATAGTCAACAGCAGCTATTAATCTTTTGTTCTCATCCAATATTTCAGACTGAAAAACAACAAACATATATTTAAATGTATTAAGTTCATCACAATTTATAATTACTGCATGCATGTTGAGTAAAAATCCAATTCTTTCCAAATGGTCTTTGACTCTCTCAAATCCATATTTCCCATCAATAAAATCATTCTCCAATGCTAATTTCAATCGGAATTCTGAAGTCTCTTCTCTGTAAAATATAAAACTTTACTATGTGGAACAAATAAAAACATAAATATGTAAACAACTATAAGTTTTGAACAGCAAATATACTATTGCTATAACTACAAACCTTGGACCAGGAACATTATTGCTTTTAGGTTGTTCTTTCTTCTCAACTTTCTCAGGCCTGTAACGACCACTGTTTTGTAAATACATACTTAAATTATTATTTAACAAATTTAAACAACATCTGCAGCAATAATAAGAAAACTTAATAACCAAGTTAAAATAAGTAGCAACTGGTAGCAACCAAAATAATTTCGCGCCAATAAATTTGACAATCAATCATGCCAACATGTTGAGCGTCAGTGACCAAGGCTATACAAGTGTATACAAGTCATATGACTTGATCCCCTTGATGTTGAGAGGAAATACCAATTTTACAAAAATTAACATTTTTTAATGTCATGCATTTTTTGATTTGAAATTTAAACCGATGGTAAAATTAAGCTGAATGTTTTTATATGACCCAATGTTATTGCCAAGAATACTCTTAGAAGTAGTTTAAAATAAAAGCAATATGAATATCTATTAAACTATATGAAATGATAGAAAAGTTTAAGGATTTAATATTCTTTTCTTGAATTTGCTTTTAGAGAATCATTTATTCAAGTTTTCATTAAATTACTCAAATAGAATAAATAAGAAGAGGGAAAAAGGTAAATTTTAAGAACTTAAAACAATGTTTCTTATTTAGTTTTTAATTACATTTTCTTTAATAACTTTTAATAAAAAATAATTGTACTTAAAATTTGACAGTCTCCAAAATTAAACACAAAAAATTCTTAAACATAATATGACCATAAAAAATTAATAAATTATTAAAATAAATATAACATGAAGTGTGGGTACTTTTTTTTGTCTGTATTTTAACAATTTTTTTGCAATGGTGTGTATTCTATGTGTATTTTATCATTTTAAATGTATAATATAATGAACAGAAATTTATAATAATTTAAGCATGTCGCTGAACTATGATCTGAATGTGTATGTTTCCATATTTATTTTCGAAAAAACGTTTTCTTGCCAAAATATTGGATATAAACAGTTTAAATTTTTCTTTTATATATAAATATATATTTACATATGTCACAAAAATTTTGATTTATTAATTTTTTTAATAAACGTAATTTAATATCACTTGAAAATATATTTTCATTTATCATCACCATACCTGTATAACAACAGACAAGCAATGAGATGCATTGCTGCTTTTGCCATACAAGGAATTTAAATTTCTTTTATTGTTATTAATCGATTATTTTGGCAATAGAATGCTAGCGATCTAAACACTTTTAACAGTGTCTACATGTCCATTTGTGTGCTTGTAATCAACAGGAGATTCAGGACGACTTAAGCTGCTTGTTGTGGAACTGCAAGTGTCACTGGAATCAGTCTCAGAGTCTGCAGAGCCAGAACTAGAATTCAGCCTAGTACGCAGATACTCATTCTCTCTCTTCAGGCTTTCATTCTCCAGGGTGAGACGTTGGATTTCCCTGTGACTGTCATGCTTTGCTTCTAGATTTTTGTGTTCCAAAGCCTTGGCACGAAACCGGTTAGAGAGTATCTCAAATTTGCTCTCCAGTAAAAGGAAATCTCTGATGAGCTCATCCTTGCTAAGGGCTTGAAGGCGCTCTGCTTGAATACTTTCATACTGATAATCAAAGTCTTTGATTAAAAATACCTCTTCATCATCTGGTGTGGAGTAAAACTCGCCATCAGAGTCAGCGCTGAAACTAGAGTCTCTGGTTCTTGTGACAGTGGATGTGGATGCTTGATCTGTTTTCTTGAACTCCTCGTCGATACCATCCAGATCTCCGTGATCCTCTATCAGAAAACGATTGCTGTTGTACGGCGCCTCCGGTTTCACGACATTGTTTGACGAGGATGAGGTCCTTGTAGCGCTTTTCCTATAAGGATGAACGTTCTTGCGTTTGGATTTCCCGCGACGGGTCTTCCTCTTCTTCGGCGGGACACCCTCCGAATCGGACACCCTCGGATCGTCGTCGGCTTTGGCTGATGCGTGCGCATCGGCGTTAGCGACGTCATCTTGGGGAAGCGTACCAACCGCCTCTAATTCGGCATTTTCAAGCTCGACTTTCTCGGTCATTTTAATTTTTTCACTGGATATCTTCTTCGAAAACTGCTTCAGGATCGACTCAATTGCAAATTTTCACCACCCAATGTCGTAACGTTCCACTCAACTGCTGGACACTAACTGCACACGACCTTAACGAAATCGCCATTTTCATCTGGTAATTTCTTTGCTTCCCTTTTGGTGGCGCTGTTTACTATTATTGCTTGTGCCTTTTTGGAAGGGAGGGAGGGCAGAATCACAACCTTCCCAACCTAATTTACAATTTTTGCTTCACACTCAATTTGCTCTTGGTTGCGGCCACTCATTCCGACGCTCCACAACATCTATTCACGCAATTCACAAAAAAAGTACACCAAAATACGATACTCCATGTTCGATGTACTTATATACGCATAGAGACATGTATCGACGTCCGACCATATTTCGTTATATTTCGGGCTTCTTGATAATAATATAATTTGGAACCACTCACATTACCATTTACAATATTATCCGACAACTCGACTGCACAATCAAATAGATTCCAATAAAATACCAATAGCAGCTTATCCAATTAATTATTCATTCGCTAATTGCGTCCAACTTCACCATCGCAAAAGCATTAATAAGTCGCTTCATCTCTCGTAATACATTTTTTCTTCTTAATTCCTCTCCTTTTAGAAATTCCATTCACTTCATCTTCAATATTATAATTAGAATCCACCAGTTTTCAATTCTAACGTTTTATAAGATAGAAAATAAAATTTTAAAATGCAAACTAATTTGAAATTAGATCGTATCAATTACTATTTCCTTTAGAATATTTATATTACAAACATTTAGATTTTAAAAGTGAAAGAAATATGGATGCATCGCAAAGTGAAGAATTATCAATAGCAATCGATTAATCAATGACGATTCTATTTTGTAATTTTCCTTAACTCGAAAGTTTATAATTGAAACGCCTAAAATAGTCAACTCAATAAACACGACAAGTTGCAACAAATTCCAGAATGCGGAGAGATTGCATTTGGATGATCCGATTCCTAAAATGACTACAAATTAGGAGACTGCGTCGTGTTTCGTAATTTATGACGAAGGTCGTTGCTTGCAAACGCTCCAAGTTTCAAATCACTTCGTTATTTTAAAAGGATTCAATTAATACGGGTCATATATTATAAACAAAGAGAATTGTTATTATTAGTAATATAAATTTGATTTACGATTAACGTCTGAAGAACGGACATTTATTACACTTTCTTGGTTTAGAGGTATTATCATCCTATTTGAATTTTTATACGCAAATGATTACCATAGATAACACAATGAGTCGAAATTGAAAAAAGATCGAGCGAAACTGTGTCGTTTTCCATATCAAATTGATAAAACTGAATGATATTTTACTAGAAAAATATAAATTGTTTCCTTTTATAGATATGTATAATAATTGTCATGTAGATTATCTTGATAATGATATTTACAAATATGATTTGCTTTCAGCAACGATGATCTACATCTACAGTTTTAAAGAGTCTTCCGCAATTGATAGCCCATCAGCAAGGTTACGGACTTTGTTATGCATGGCGACACCGAAAATCCAGATGCATAAACCAATATTGTTGAAACAGCGATAATCAAAAGCGTTTCGCTTTTTTTATTGAGCGATAATTGTCGTCAGCAGAGATCGATGATTAATCCAATTTCCATCATGCCACATAAAACGCAACAATGTTTCACGCCCAATTGATTTCAAAGCGAAAATGAATTTGAACAATCAATTAATAATAGCGTACGAAATATCTTGTATATATACATTAATTTCTATAATATTTGTTTTTTTGTCCACTCATCTATGTTGTCAAAAAATCGATGTACATTCAAAATAATGTTAATTATTAACATTCAATTGTGACAAAAAGCTTTGTCGCAGTTTGGAAACACTCCTGTATAGGCGACATCATTTTCATCGTGCGCTGATGTTCCATTGTTAGGCGGTTGGAGGTCACCTCGATTAAAATAAAAATATATTCATTTACTTATTTCGCTTTCTGCATGTTCCGAAAAGTAGAAGCAAAAAGGCAACGCAATCAATTGATTCGTTTTCTTTATATTAATTAACAACTGTCGCAGCGCATCGAAAGCAGTTGAATAATCAAGCACGTGCACGTCTCAACGCGTAAAACAAAGTAGAATCGTGAACTGACAGGTTAATCCGGTGGGAATAGTCACAGTGATCCGAATTAGGAGACTACTTTATCGCAACAATAATAACTAAGATTGTCATTAATGTTAATATGATGAATCTAATATGACTAATTATTCTAATTAAGTTTATAAACCATTCATAGCCCATTCATATGGATATGTTTTGATTTAGAAATTACATTTTTGATTTAGTGTAAAACACAGTATTAATTTGTTTCAAAGAACTATTTTATTTGTTTGTATATATTCCGGAGCACCTCTGAAAAACTTGATCAATCAGAGAATAATCCTTTTTAATGCAGTAGAAACTGCATCTAAAATTGAGTTACAATTATTCAATTCATCAAAGAGAACGTTTCTCGAAATAAATGTAATGAACAGCATAGCAACACAGAAACGATTGTGCAATATATCAAAACGAAAGAGGGACTTTTTCATATTTTTTTTTCTTTCTTTATTTAATAAACGAAAATATTAGCGAAACGATCGTAAAAAAGAGAGTATGTATCTGAAATAACTGCATAAAAGTTACCGTCGCACGCAAGTTTTAATGAACTTTTATCGAATCGTTGAATAAAATCACCGCCATTCGAAATTATTAACAACACTTTCACTTGAAATTCATAATTGGCGAACGACAAAATTTGTTAATTTTATTCCATGCAAACATTATACAACAAATCACTTAACCGATCTTGGAATTTTGATTGCGTTCGTTAATTAAAAAATGTTGAATCACGTCGTTAGATAACTGTATAAAGCGAGAATGCGTGCATATTTCAAAGGGATGAAATACGTAAGGTTGAAATGTTGAGAGCTAAGTGAAGGTATACTTTGCCGGAGGATCGCAAACAAAGAATATCACACAAGGAATGCACGAAAGAAAACGTCACAGACTCGAAGACAAAGCCAAATAATGCACCAGTTTTTTTTGTAATAAATTTAAATCTCTACAAGCAGTAAATAACCTTTTCATTTATGCACTTCGCAAACGCGAAAAGGAAACTAATAAATTGTTCAGTTTCTATTTGAAATAAGTAATTATTATTATTATTTTATTGATAATAATTATTAAACAATTGTTTAATAATAGAAACAACATTTAACAATTGATTATCACGTTTAGAAGCGAAAACTTATTAATATTTCATGTTTTCTTTCATGTGTATTATTATCATGTAAACATGTAATAAACCAGTAACGAGTACTGGTTCTTTTTTCTGACCCTTATAATTTTATTGTTATCAAATCAAACGACTTATTTTTCTTCTAAGAATGTTTTCTTTTTGAATAGAAATCTTTTGTAAAAGTACACCTTTCGGATATTTGCTTGGTTCGTGAATGCTTCTTTAGCTTAGTTGACCAAAAACGGATCTTCTGAAGGGACGCAATAAGGGTAGAAGTCGTTATTTTTCAGGTATTCCAACACTAGTATAAATAGAGGTGTCACCCTCGTTAGGTCCTCTTTCATAATGCAGAACTGGACGAAGCAACATGCATCGCTGTTAAATTTGTCTCCGGTCGAAGACCCTGCAAATGCTTAAGTTTAGCATGTATTAATCACTTTATTTTTTAATCATTTGTCTTTAGTATGAATAATCATAATAGAATCACTTATTATTGAACAGCACGAATTATAGCAAGAGCATTCTATGAATAATCATGTTAGTATAATCTAATTGGATTTGGTGATTCATTCAAGTGATGCCTGCAGCAAAGTTCTTTAACTTTTGTTACAATCACTCGATAATGCTAATCATAATATAAACGTTTTATTTGTCTGACAAACAGGTCGTAATTACTAGTAAATAATGTAAGATTTTTTTTTTGCATTTGAAAAATACTTTTTTTATATCCACGAATGTAATGATTTAAAATTTTCATGAAATTTGAACTCTTCACATTTGGATATTATGATACATACGATCATAAGAAATACTTCCAATTGATTATTTAGGTTTATATAAAGTAATTAACGTAAATACATTATTTTTATTTATAATACATTGATTATTGAATATTAGATTATTTTATCAATCCGAGCTATGTCAGTAAACGACGTTGTTTATCTTTTATTAAAATCACTCTCTAGTATTATTTGTAATGTAATAGATAAAACGAGCAATACGTAAACGTCATCGCATATTAACAGTAAATAATGTAAGTAAATTTTTGCGACTAATAAATACCAACAATTGAATAAAAAAGTATTTAATTGGCAGCTTTGAAGGAACAACAAAAATCGAGTAAGGATAGAAGTTGGTCGGTAATGCCGTGCCATTAACACAGATCCAGTTGCAAAAAGGTTAATTTCGTAGGATTAGTGGAGTCGAAGTTGAAGAAGTGAAAAAATTGGAATTAATATAAACAGACTAATTTATATCCATTGCGACGTTGTAATAATGCTGCGGACTATGATGACTGACTGTCTTCGTACCATTACATCGAGTTAAACACACATGTGAATGAAACTAAGCGTTTTCCAGATGAAACCCGATCCAACCCCCAAGGAACATCGGAATCAAACGACGGCGGCAATCGAGAGAAACAAGATGTACATGCATCAACAAGAAATAGGGCTCTTCTAGAAAGAAAAAGTATATAGAATTATACAATGATTTAATTTAATATTTGCTGTATGTTTTACTATTGTACATTTTCATATTCATATAGTTAAATAATATTAATTATATTCTTAATTATTGCATGAAATTCAAAATTAGTATTTCCGTTTACTCTCGGTTCACGGAAACGGTGAAAAGGTTAATTGGATGCTGAGCGTTCTAATATTATGGAAAATAGACAACAACTTTTCATTTCCTTTTGGTCGCATCAAAACATGTGTAATTTAAAACATAGTTTATTCAAATTGATACCCTGGAGAAAAAAAAACATGAAATATTCTAGAAAGTAGAGACATTATCAATGTAGTGAATTATTATTTATGTTGGTAACATGCTACTACAGCTGCATCTAAAAAAATAAATGAGTTGAAATATATATGTATCAAAAACATACTTCTTTATATATACAGTCATATCTCAGTTAACGTTGCTTCTGATTATGATATAACGACATTTCAAGTCTATTTAACGTACAAACTATTCCAATTTTAGGCCAAAGCCCGACAGTCATGTGATACAATATCACAAGAAGTTGTACTAGAAGATCAAAAGAAAATTAAAAAAGATATCCGGTTGAAGATATTTATTTAATGCATATATTGGTCGTTTTTCAGTTGGCAAAAAAAGACAAATTAAATGCAGATGAAATTAAAACCACCAAAGTTTGAAAAAAGCACTTACATAACATTGATAGTCCCATATGCTTTTTTAGTAAAAATAATTATTTATTGTTAAATGTTAATAACTCCATAAAGGCAATTGTTAAATGAAAGAGAAACGCATAAACTATCAACTTTATACTGAAATTATCAAATGTTTTTTCACTTTAAGTTGACTGCTTATTTAAGAAAATGTTTCTTGTTCGAAAAATGCTTTCAATTTTTGATGGAAGGAACGAAGTTTTGCTTAAGGAAAAAATTTCGTGGAACCCACTAAATTCGTTAATTTAGGTACGATTGTACAATTGGAAACCTCGCTTAACGAGCACAATCCGGAACGGAAATAGTTTTCCTCCAGATAAATTAATGTAAAATACTATAATGCGTTCCATGCCTGAAAAAAGTTTAACTTGGTTTCGATTTTTAATGATTTTTATATCTATGGTTATTTAACATGTTCGAACACAATTTTGAAAACATGTATTATCACAAACAACACTAGATGCAACTAGAATGACTACAAAACCAGGAACTGTTTTCCGATTCACATAAAAGAGTTTACGCCTGACTCCATTCTCTCTATATAATTTTAATATTTGTTTTAATATTAATTATTTATTAATATAATTTGTTTAAATATTATAATAAACATTGGCTACAATTAAATTTTGTTGTGTAATCAACATAAATTATATTTGCAAAATATAGTTCGCAATAAACAAAATTGACAAAAAAAATTAAAATGATTAATATATTCAAAAACACACGTAATATGTGTATACAAGTTTTGAAAATGATGTAGTAAGCGCACAATGCGGAATTTATCGTCTCCTCGTTATGCGAAACGTATGACTCGCTTAACGAGCGACGTTTCGCATAATTATTTTTATTTTTATTACAATTTATTTTGCTCGTTAAACGAAATGCTCGGTATGCGAGGTTCCACTGTATATTGAATTATAAAAATATATAATTCACTGTCATCGTCGTTGTTCGGATTTATATAATTCGAAAACCTGTTTTTGATCCTATATTTAAAATATAAAAAAGAATTAATTCTTTGAGTAAAAACTTAAAAATATGACACAAAATTGTCTCTGCTATAAAACAGTTAAATACTAATATATTAATAATAGTTTCATCGGTGCTTCTCACATCTGAAATGATGCAGCAGAATATTGAAAATTAAAATCATTAAGTTCATCTGAACAAATATTATCAAGATTGTATCCAAATTATTTAATAGTAGATGTCTACGATGATGAAAAGGAAATCGCTTTAAAAATGATATGAAAATATCAAGAAGTTTAAGTTATTTAAGTTATGTTTTGTGAGATTTTACATTTTTTAATTTTGCTTATATTTAATTAAAAAGAAAATAAGTTGTAAAAATTTATTCCCTATTTTTTTTAAGTACATTCAATAAATCCATTTTGTAGAAAAGTTGAGATTCGAAAACAAGTTTTTGTAAAAACCGTTGTTATAATTATATTTTTATTGAATTTGCTTGCGAGTACGTATTATTGACATAAGCATTTAACGGATAATTGGTATACCTGACAGCAATTGTTAAATACAAAACCCTTTGTGTGTGGAATATACTAAGACGGCAGGGATGCTCAAACGGTCGATCGAAAGCAGTAAGCATTTTTTTCAGAGTATAGTTACATAAAGTTAATAAATTCTGATCAATGATGATTTCTTAGAAATTCTTTACGAATACTTAGGAATGTTGTGTTGCAAAAATACATAGGTAAAAATAAACATAAATCGTTTACGATAAGATATTATATCATAAATTGCAAAATACGTACAAAAATAAATAACTTTCTTGATAGCAATTTACTTGCAAGGAAGATTACATATATAATTTGTTCAAAATTTGAACACGAACATTGCCTGATGTAAATACATTATTTTACTATGACATTTCCTAAACTCCATGTCTCCATACATGAACCATTTAATTATGTGTGCTAAATTACTGAAGTCACTAAGGTAATTAAGTTACATTGCAATAGTTAATTAGTTTTAGTTTAGGAACTTAATACTTAAAATATATTAAGCAAACTATTACGTGCAACATTTACAAGGCGGAAGTCCATAATTGAAAGGGACGTTTTTTTTCTTTTTCTCTCTCGCTGTAAATTATGAGATGCTCTGGATGGAAACTAATCGCTCCTAATGATCCAGAAACACGTTCATAGCTCTACGAGACGCGTCAAGAAAATCCACCGGGAGATTAAACTGCATACAAGAAAAAGATTAAAATGTGTTTATTCAAAATTTTTAATTGTATCTTCTTATCGAGTGTTGTAAACATTTATAATTTAAAAAAAACAATCTTTTGCTGAATGGGGAACGAGCGTAATTTTTGTGCAATGATTCAATTTCGACTGAATGGTATTAAGAGTTTACAGCGCACTTAAAACAAGAGTCATCAATAATTTATCGTCCGTACACTACTCGTCGTAAGCTACAATAAATAATTGATGATCTCCGTTGCAACAAAAGCTGTAGATCGGAGAAAAAAAGTAAATAAAATAAAATGGAACTGAAATCATTCATCATGTAATATTTGGCTTTGGATTATTATACTGCTGCAGCAAATTGTCGAAGACTACTACTATCTGACTGTTATTATATTAGAGACCAATATAAGCTAATAATAAATAATTACTTGTTTATAAATAAAACGTTACCCAAGCCGCGGCTTATTGTTTATGCGTTCGTTCGCAATTTGCATGTGTTTTTAATTTATTATCTCTTATTGACGCTAACCGCAAAAAATCTATTTGTTAGATAGTTTTGCGTTTAGCTTTGAAACATACTTCTATTTGGTCATCCATCTAGGCAGCATTATTTTCACGCGCTGCTTAACTTTAGTTAGCTGTCAAAAATTGAGTAGCTGTTAAATATTTCGTAACTGTCACATATGTTAATAAAAAAAAAATTGCATTAAACATTTTATAAGAAATTAAAGAAATAAAATTTGTTACTGCAGGAGATAAGACAAATAGTCAAAGATCTGCGCTTCGGGATAACACGATTGTAAACTATTCAGCAACAGCGGGAGGCGAAAACCCTTCGTGTTTACTTTTCATTAAGGCCGTGCCCTTTATTTTCTAGTCTATTCTTTTTTTTTCTGTTACCCCGATTTCGCCGTCAGGAGAAATTCAAGTTATTAATGTTTCCAAAAGCCGTTCGCCCGGAATGCCTTGGAATGCACTCGCTCTGTCTGTATTTGTTCGTTACTTAACAGTTCGTTATTTTCATTTCGCCAAGTACGTGCACCGCTCGTACCGCATTATACTTTTTTCAATTATTTATATATTTATCTTTTTTATTATTTATTGCGCACCGCAAAACTTTCCGAAATTAAACGTGTTATGCACGTGACCTTCAACAAATGTTGTTTTTATTTTAATGACAATTTATTAGAGTTTTAATGGATATTGCAAAAGCTCGTTGAATTAAAATTTAATGCAATATAATTCTGATAATGAATTCGAAAAAAAACGGGTCTTGAGATTTAGAGATTTAGACAATTCTAAGAAGATTTGTGTCCGTTTTTGAGTGCTATAAAAAAAGGATTGTGTAATAAAGTATCTTCTTCAGATTTTTAGTTTTATGTCTGAAAGTCAGAATCCAACATTAAAATACTCCGAATGATAAAAAATAATAAAATATACATAGCATTTGTCGAGTCGACAAGAATCAGTAGGTATCAGAAATATTGCCGTATTGATAAAAAAAATAGTTCTAAATGTAGTCAAACTTAAACTATTTCTACAAAACAATATATAAAAATATTGCAAATTATAGATGATTTAATAGAATGTAATTTTATTTGTGTTTATTTTCTCTATATTCCATTCACACAATAAAATTAACTTTATTCAACTGTAATCCAAGCTGTAACTCAATTTATGTTACATATAAAAATGAAACATAATCATTATTAGTAGATATAGTAGATATTTTTCTTAAATAGTTCTTAAATTAGAATACACTCATTTTTAAACGTAACAAAAGTTTTCTCTTTAAAAATAACTCGTATATGTGAGATAATAATCATCATACAATTTTTGTCCTATTTGCATTCGAAATTTCGCGCTTTAATAACAACAAAAGGTTTTCTGTATTTCATTTGTGCAAATCGTTCGTCACAGGAAGAAACTGATATAGCTGATTGTAGATTACTTGATAGCACTGTCGTTAATATGTGAATAAATAATAATTTTATTCTATTCAAACCTTTCTCGTATCAATGAAATGGACGAAGATGTTTCTAAGTAATTGCGAAGAGAAGACCTAAATCGGTGCGTAATACTTATTTGAAAATCAGTATGTCCGCGTTTCGAGTCGGAGAAAGTTCAACTAATATTCATAGTGAATCCTTCTAAAGAAACCAGGAAAAAGCGAAACAGCTTGAATGTCAACACCAATGATCAAACCGGGAAATTTAAATGATTTTGTTTCTTTGGGACCTAAATTTTGAATATTGATTTTTATCATAAAATATTGTATGGTACTCATATAAGAACTCTCTCTCAACATAGTTGAAATTCGTAATGACATATCTTTATAATAGTTTGTCAAGACGTCAATTAGTGGTTTATTATATTCATTTATAAATAAATAATAAATTAGATTATTTATATATTACGGTCCCAAATGCCACCGGTATAAGGTGCACTGATGTAACAAAATTATTTGACATTGTGTGTCAATAGTAAATTTTCATTGAAGTTTATGAAAATATTTGATCAAAATTTAATAAAAAAGTAAAAATTATTATAAATATATACTCGTATTCTATATACAAAATACTATTAACTTCAGTCTTGACCGAGGTAAAGTTATTATTTATTAAAATTATTTATTTATTTTGAGTCAGTGGTGTTTTGACATTTAGACCAAATTTAACTATATACATGTAAATTATTTTGCTTAGTTATGAAATAAAATGTAAATAATTTTATATAAATATAAAAAAGTTTGTAAAAAATTAAGTGATTGTTTATGAAAGTGCGCAATTACAAATTAGATATACTTTAGAAGCGCAAATCGATGCAATACAATCTCCGAATTGAGAGAGTGCAACAAAAGTTGTCGGAGAAACTTCTCAAACAAAAATCAAATTTACGTAATGCACACCGAGGTTTTTGAACCCGAGGTGAGCATCGATTAATTGAAGATCATTGATTCTGCTCGACTACTCAATTCAATTGAAGCTTTATTTGTCCATTGATATGGAAATGTTGCTAGATAATTTTTGTTTTTTTTTTTTTGGGACACGAGGAAATGTAAATGTGTCTTGTAGGATCGGACGAGTGTTTTGCTTGTATAGTACGGCAGTAGTGGTTTCGTTTGCTATTAAAAATAGAAACGCATTTCGTTTGGTGTCCGAGTGTAAAGAAAAAGAAGGCTCAACATTCTCTCCTAAACATTAACATAAACAACGAACGCCGCTCGGACGAGGACGTTCTTATGATGAAAACGGAGTAAACAAAACCGGCCGAGAGAGGTTGCGTAACTCGGATCTAGTCGTGGGTCGGAGAAAGAAAGAACGAAAGATTCAGTGAGTATGAGGAAGAGAAGGAGCGAGCGAGTGAGTGAGTGTGTGGTGGAGGAGGAGAGTGATTCTTCTCGTTCAGCTCGCATCGGGAAAGCTGCGTAAATCACGGACAAATGAGAAACAAGAACAATAGTTTTTCCTACCTAGGGAGCAACCTAGGTGTAACCCAGGCTGCTAATATTAGCTCTTTCAGACGAGCTGCGCAGATTGCGGTCGCTAATGCGATGTTATTTGTTGTTATGGTGTTATTGTTGTTTTCTCTTTCGTTTATGGTCGCTCCGTGCGCGATTATTTATTCATACTGTTGTAGATAGAGACGAGATGTTTACCATCGATGTCTTCATTTATTCAATCGAATTTTAACAGAACGTTTGATAAGGCCGCCGAGTCGAACGCTGATGTTATAACAAGAACGGCTTTATCTGCTGAATGTATATACGTGACTGGTCCAACTTTGTATTTGGTCCACGGATGGAGCGCAGATTATCGACTTTACCTCATTCACTTTAAAACAATGCTAACAGGAAGTTGTATGGACTTTAGCAATTTCACACTTGGCTTAAATTCAAAACAACATTTCGCGATTACTAATCTTTATACGAAATATTAAAAGTATTTATATTTTTAATTTCGTAATTTATTGTGAAATCAAATATAAAGATATTTTTGTACAATGGTTGAAAACAAGCACAAGAAGCTTACATTTTAGAAAATAAGATTGTTAAAATGAAACTCTATCAAGGATTTCAACGTCTCTACATTTTCAAAATATTCTTGAAAACTACAACTATATATAACTATAGATAAAAAAAAGTAGTGAAATCCTTATCAAAGCATTATTATGTATTTTAAAATCAATCTCGAATTCTTTACTTTATGATTTGTTTATTTAAAATCGTATAAAAATAAACTGCACAAAAGTGTCTTGACCTTATAAAGTAGAAAAATGGAGATCACTCTTTTATAAATTTAGAATTTAGTTTTTATTTTGCTCAATTAAAATTTAGTTTATTTTAAACTTTTAAACCGGACTATAGTGAATCCGTATTGATCGAATGCGCACTATGATAGGTATGCTGTACCTTTGTGATTATTATATTTGTAATTATCGTGTGCAAATACTATAATTTACACTAAGAGTCTTAAATAATTCTAAGAAATTTCATTTAATAAAAAACAACTTCGTTTTTGTAGATATACTGTTCACAGAAATAAAGTAATTATCAATTCCGTGATAAAGAGAATTTACAAATTTGCACTCCTTAAAATATAATTTAAATGTTGTAAATAAATTTATTCGAAATTATACATTTATTTATAAGTTTTCAAATTAAACGCGAAGACATAATTTACAGCATGATATATTTTTAGAATCTTCGTCCGACACTTTTTACGCACTTTATATAAACTGTGAGCAGTGTTCAGGACCAAACGAGCGGATTTCGAAGACTTCCGAAGAGAGTTTATTTTAATATTATCTTTCCATTGAAAATCTTTACCGTCGAGTGTTTACAAATACTGGAATATAAACACAACGAACAATAGCTGGAATTCACTAGTTTTATAGGTAATAATATAATAATATTCATTTCGTAAATAGTTTACGTAATAAACTAAAATTGATTGTTTATATTTGAATGAATGTAACCAAAACAGTTTATTTTGAAATCAAAGCTGACATAATTTATACAACTATCACTGTTTTTCGTATTTATTCGGATGTTAATGCGAACAGGCTATCAACCCCAAAGGAAAGTTGTGTTAATAATAATAATATTGTAAATTTCGTATTATTTATGCTAAAATATTTGAATTTTCAAAGCAAGTTAATTTAAGTAATTTATAGTTTAGTAAATCCTCAACACAAAGGGAAAAAAGGACTAGAGAAGTACTTTCTATTTTTAGGAAAGCATTAAGCGATGAAGAGCTTTATCTAAATCCGCAGAGCAAATGTAGCGTGCAATTTGAAGAATGAAACGAAAGGTTAACATAATAAATAAACAACAACAGTTCGTTTATTTTGTTTACAATATTCTATTTGTTTTTAGCTTTTAATACTTTAAAATCACATCACAATGAAGACCTGTTCGTAGTGCGCAATTTGAAGAAAATCGATCGCCAAAGTTTCAAAAGGGTTTATGTTATCTAATACCTCGATGATATTTGATACTGTTAAATGTTACAATGTTGCATTCGAAATGTTCAGCAATAATAGTAATAATAATAACATTCGAATTATATGAATCAATACAGTTTGATGTTATTCTTTTGAAAAGAAATATCTTTGTGAGGAATAAGAATTAGTTTATAAATACACTTGTAATTCTCTGTTTATATTATGTAAGAATAATTTATGTGATAATGACATTTTAAATAAATCAAAAATATACAATTTACAAAATATGTGTGAAGAAAATGATTAAAAAGTGTGGACATTATTTAAATGATTGTTATTTTTAAATAGACGCAAGAATAATTGACATAATAAATTTAGTACCGTGTATAAAAGTAGCGCGGAATTTGAAGTGAGGAAAATCAATAATGGGCTTCAAAATGCAAGCGTCTTTGCATTATTATAATTATTTATATGACGAATACTTAATATACAAAATCATTAATAAAAAGGTTTAAATATTAATAATTGTTAAAGGAAATGTTATTTGTAGAAGCAAATTTTTATTCAGGTGAATAAAAATTTTCTTTTGGGTATAAAAAATAGTACACAATTTCAAGAGAAAATCAATTATGTGCTCTTGTTAGAGCATATTTTTGCATTATATCTTATTTATGAAAAACTATAATATATATGGTATTTAGCGAAAAGTATTATATAAGCAGATGAATGTTTTCTATTGGGTATGGAAGTAGTATGTAATTTGAAGATGACAAGTGTCATTATTAAATTAATATTACATTTAAGATATAACAATTGTCAGGTGTTATCTAATAAGAACTGTCAATGCGACATTTGTCGTCGATGATGTCTAATATTTCGACGTTACGCAACAAGCAGTCTACGTACCTAGATTGACGACAACAATGCAAATGCATGCACGTATGCAGAAGGGGGGAAAGCGTATTAAATAATCCGTATAGGAACAATTGCAGAAAGCGGACGCGGTTAATTTTAGAGGCGGAGGGAATCCGGCTTCGCCATGGTTACGGTAGCATCCCCGGCCCGGCTCCGTCGATCTCCGCTTTGGGCTCGGAAAATTTCCAAAATAAAATCCTATTATGAGTAATGCACCGTCCGTGTCCATCCATTGTATCTCATCCACTTGGGCACTAAACAAGGAGATATTTCTGAACGCCGTTGGCGGCTCCTGAAAATAAATAGTCGCACAAATAGAATTACGATTATCATCATTACCTTGTCGCACCCCACAAGCAGTTCTACGAAATATCATCACGAAACCACCATAGGATGAAAAGTTTCCAATTGTTTTGCTACTTTTTGCTTCCAGATGTAGATTATTGCCCGCAGCATAAGTGATAGGATTCTTAAATATTCGCTAATAGTTTAATATGCGCAATAAGTAATCCTTGTTAGATTCCTTGAGATTAAAGGAACTGACTTAGATAAGATAAATACATGAATATTGCAATCTCAATAAGTAAAAAGCATACAGTTGAATTTCTTAAATGTACCAAAATTATATTCTTTTTTCAATACTTTAATAATATCTTAACATTAATTATATTATCATTAAGATACATGCTATTGACCGCAGTCTTTCCACCTTTATTTTAATATAATTTAATAGAAGAACCTTAGTTTAAACTTAAAATGACATTAATTAATTAAATTATATTTTTTCCAAAAGCCTAATTCCAAAAGAAACACCGTATATTATTATTTTTTTGTATTTTTTCTAATTACTTTCTACATTTCCAGAGGGCGCCAAAATACAATGAAAGCATCTCTCTCTATTTCATCTTCGTTTATTGTGTTTACATGTGTTATTGAATTCAAACCAGAAATTAAGGTTAATTTATATTTATTTAATCTGTAAGTTTTGTAATGTAGCTAAAGATTTTGATGTTTTGCACTTCTAAAAGCTTGAGACACTTCAATGAGCTGTTTTCATTTGTTTGATACATATCTCAAAGTAGTTTCAAGTAGTATTTTCTTTTTATATACTAATTTGTGTATACATTTAAGGTTGCTCCATTTAAAGTTGTAGAGCAGTGGATTAATTGCCCAATATTTGGCGTTATGGTCAGAGGAAGAAGCAATTTAGATTTAAAAGATCAGAATAATATAAATATCACTTTCCAGAAGAGCTTACAAAAGTGTTTATCAAAAGCAAATGATAATGGATGCATCAGTACTATCAGATGATGAGAAAAAGTTTATGGATGAGGCGTTTAAGTATGCTCAGGAGGCGCTAGAAGCACAGGAAGTTCCTGTAGGATGTATTTTTATTTATGAAAACGAAATTATTGCTTTAGGGCGAAACGAGGTGAACCGAACCAGGAATGCCACCAGGCATGCTGAAATCATATGCATAGATCAAGTAAATGAGTACGCGAAGAAAAACGGATTGGACTTGAAGAGTGTTCTTGCAGAAACTTCGGTTTATGTTACAGTCGAACCCTGCATCATGTGCGCTGCAGCGTTATACAATGTTAATATAAAATCAATAATCTTCGGATGCCAAAACGATAGGTTTGGAGGCCAAACAGTTTTCGATGTAGCCAAGGTTTTGGGACCGAAAACCACAGTCAAAGGTGGCTTCAGAGCGGAGGAAGCCATGGGACTACTCAAGGAATTTTATAAAGGCACTAATCCTAGCGCTCCTTCCACTAAAGTCAAAACGAAAGGAAAGAAAATGTGATTCCTGAAATGAAATATTGATTTATATTAAATAAATATACATTAAATATAGTATTCTTTTAATTAATTTATTTATAATATTGTTTATATTTCCAATTATAATGATAAATCAAATTCATAAATATGAAATAGAGAATTCAAGACTTTGCTATAGTTCTTGACCATCTTTCATTGTTTAGTTAGTCATGTTACAGCGTCATAAATGAGCCATCTTACGTAGTGGTATTTATACACACAAAAAAGAAACAGAAACAACTTGTCTCCGTATTTCAGATTATAACAGATTATGATAGGCAACCAAATAAATAAAATGGATTAATAATCTTATTTAAATTTGTAAATTGTAAAACTCTATATTATGTAGATTTTTATAAGACTATAGTAGTTTGATTAGTGAAACCGTCTAATTCTAATCGTATGTTTAATAAACTCGAAATATGTTTTCTTATCGATCGATTAAATAAAAACAGATACAAATCATAATTGAAGAAAATGAAATAATATTTTGAATTCCACCAATGATACAAATATGAAATCCACCTGTTGGTAAAGTAGTGTCCTCTGTTATGTATACCTGAACTACTCTTGTATTCATTTTGAGCATGTCGATTGACATCAGTTGACATTTGTTAAATATTCATATTTTTGTTATTGTTAGTAGATTAACTTTAATCTATTGTTGTTCGTTAAGTTTGTTTAATTCTTTCTATTTATTTTGTACATGCTTCTTACTTCAAACTTGTGTTCAAAATATAATGTCGCGATCTCTAGAAGACAAAGTGGAAATGATATTCGTGTCATCAGCCTCAAACAATGATTTCCAAGCGGCTGCAAAGCTCTTCAACGATCGCTATCCAGATCGACCCACCTCTAAGAAGTACCTACAACAATTGATGAACAAATTCAAAACAACCGGAAGTGTAAACAGTGCAATATCAGAAAAAATAAATAAACCACCAATAAGCCCCACAACAGAGATGAACATCCTTTGGGAATTGATTGAAAATCCACAATTGACCAGCAAAGACATTTCAGAAAAGTACAATGTCTCTAAACAAACTGTGACACATCTCATCAAGAAGAACAAATACAGAACAAGCATGATCCGTAAAAGACTTAACCTGGATTCATCTTTGTGTGAGGAAAGTGAGGATACTCCCATTGAGAGTGCAAATAATTAAGATCAATTATAGAAAGTTGTTATATGGGCTATTGTTTATTTGTAATTATCAGTGTAATATAATAAATTATATTTTTTGTGTGTTTTTTTTTTCTATTATAGTTTAGACAACCATATACACATTGAATAATTATTGAAAAATGCTATATATTTATAATGCAGTTCAATAACGAACATTACGTATATTTCCTTTAAATTTGTAGTATTCTAAATTGTTACTTATTGGGTAAATGTTAACAAATAAATGAATATTTTATAATTATATTTTTATAAAGAAATAAGTTATATAGCATTTTGGTTGCCTAACATTTATATTAATTATTTTATATCACATTTTTTTGTAGTATGCATTATTTTGTTCCAGAAAAGTTACAAGAAATGATAATAAATTAAATATTTGCAATATTTTCAATTGAATTGTGAGTCAATTGAATTTAGCAATTATTAATGCCATCTATTAATACACTAATCTGTTGTCATATGTGTTACAGCCAGTTACAGCTGTCAAGTTTGTAAACAAGAAATACCTTAACTTTATTTTCGTGTAATGAATGGTAGCTTTGATACCGTTTTATGTGCGTTGTACTTTCATTTGACCCGGTTGCATGATGTCCCGTACGTTGGAAGATAAAGTGGAAATGATTTGCCTATTGGGATCTGTTAACCACAACTTTCACGAGGCAGAAAGGCAATACAATGCGGGACACCCCGAACGACCAGCATGCAGGAAATACCTTAGGGAATTGGTAACGAAGTTCAGGAGGACGGGAAGTGTCAACAATGATAATAGCAACAAAACGGCACGATCCGTGAGTCCAGTAACGGAAATGGAGATCATGTGGGAAATGGTCGAGGATCCACAAGTGTCAGCGAGCGCGATTTCCAAGAAGTACGATGTCCCGCAGGCAACTGTTTTGAAGTATTTCAAGAAGAACGAGTACCACGCACAGATGATTAGGAAGAAAATGAATACGGACCAAACCCCATCCTCACAAAGCGATGATACAGAGGAAATAGAAGATATTCCCGCCAAAAAGACGACTAAAAAATCGCTGAAACGAAAGCACAGCTCATAATAATTCAACAGTAATTGTTTATAGAGCATGTGTGTGGATGCATGGTTTTCGATCAATTTGGTTTAACATCTCAATTACGAGATGTCTGGCAACCAGATTTAGATAAACCGAATTTAACATCGATTGCTTTGATGTGCTTTATACTTATGATTAATTATTTCAATATGTAATTACTAACAGCTAAAATTATTCATTGTTATTATGTAACAATTACGAAAAATAAATAATGTATTTTTTATTGTTATAAATCTCTTCCGGCCCTATTTCTACCCCTTTCGGGTTTAACAGCCACCACAAGTGTTTGTTAGTTTTTTGCGAATCGAACCAACGACCTTTTGTATCAGATTTTCGTGATACAGGCCACCATAGTCACATGGCTACGGCCGCCCATATTTTTTTAATTATATTTAAAAAAAAATTCAATCACAATTCTGCTGAATAGTTAAGAATCTTCATTTGCTTAAATTCCTTTTTTTTTATTTATGCATCTATATTTTTTATTATTCATGTTAACGAACAATTTCGACTGCCAACAAAGAACACTCGCTAAATATTTTTACAGTACATTTGTAGTATTGAAGTTTACTGCCATTCTAATAAAATAAACGATGACAAATCGATGATTGGTTACGAACAATTCTGATAGCGAACATAAACTTTTGATAAAAATCATAACTGCCATCTGAATTGTGAAATTCCAACTTGCAATTGTTATTTTGCTGATGACAACATTTGTCAAAATAATAAACATAACCTAATCTTTATATTGTTATCAATATCCACCCATTGAACAAAACATAAGAATTCAAAATGATGCAACAATACATGAAGGAGTTGGAGCAGGTTTTTGATTTGATAAAATATTTGTTGAATGTATCTTATTATTGGATATTTAGGATCCATTTGATGCTGAGGAGTTTGTGGAGCGTTTAGCCTGGAGGACAATTGCAGAAACTAAAAAATCAGGAGAGGATGATTTCAATCCAATTCTTTTACATGATTCATTTGTACAAGCTATAAAGTATGTAATGTTTATAAGTGAAACTTTCTTCATTAATCAATAAATGTTCAAAGGGATTTAACACTGCTTGAGGAGAGGCAACAGAAGAGGTGTGAAAGATTGGAAGCTACAGTCAGAGATGATGAAACTCTATTTAGAAGAGAAATCCATGGGTTACAAGAAAACAATAAGGTTTCGCAAAAGAATTGATTCTAAAGAAATCTTTAATTTAGTTGATTATAGGAATTGAATAAGGAATTTCTTTTGTTGTAGATGGCTGCACATACATTCCAAGGATTAGATGAGAAGATTAATCATGTCGCTACAAAAGTTTTACATTTAGGTGATCAATTAGATAGTGTGAATGGACCAAGATCTAGAGTGGTTGAGGCTCAAAGACTCATGGCGCACCTAAATGATTTTATGTCTGCAAATCCACTCTCATCACCTTTATATTCAGATCCTACTAAAGTAAGTATATTAAAAGTATATGGAAATATTTAATTGATTATGAAATTCTACTACTATTAAAAGAAAATATGGTATAATTATTTTAAGTATGTTCTTTCAGATAGATGAAGCTGCTGATATTATCCAAAAACTTCATATTATTAGCCAAGATTTACCTGATTTGAAGTATTTGTATCTCCATTTTTTTAAAAGCTTATAAACTATTTGATTTTAGGTTTAGTTCTCTCAAAAGTAAAATTGAAGTGAAGTACGATGAAACTGAAAGAGCCTTAATCGAGGAATTCAAAGCTAAACAGCGACAAGATGATTTTCAGCGTATGAAGGAAATTGCCAATGTGTTATCGCAATTCAAGAACTATTCACAATGCATAAATGCTTACATCGAGCAAAGTCAAGCTGTATGTTTCTCATTCTTATTTATGATGCGTAACCGTGCAACAAATATAGCATTACCACTAAGCTCTATATAAGTAGAAATGTATAGTTATTTTTAGAAATATATTTTTCTTTAGGGTTGCCTTCTGAACAAAGACGTTTTTGGACATTTGTTGCCGCTTTGCGAGAGGAACTATCAATGTATCAAAGAGGTTTTCAATAATCCGGAACAAGTAATGGCCAAATTCATACTGAATATTTATCACTTAAAATTACAAGAGTACATAAGTGGAAAGCTTTCGCAAAAAATGGATATTTATAGTTATTTGTGTATTTTATACGAGTTGTATTCCAAGTAATGACTGCGTTTTGAGTCGTTGAAACTAAACTCTAATATTCAATCGTTTTAGAACAAATCAGCTCTCGATTGGATTAGCCGCATTGGATATGGGATATGATCTGATATTTTTGAACAAATTGACCAGTAACATATTCAGTAAACATATTGAGAATTATATTGAGCACGAGCTTAAGTGCTTCAAGGAGAGGAGTTCCGCTAACTTGCAGAAATATTACGAATCTAAGAACCACCAAAAGAAGCAAATACAGTCTGGAGGGTATTCAGAAATTTATTAACTCTAATTCAATCAAATTCATAATGATTATTTTTAGTTTCCAAGATTTGAAACGCGACATACAAGCAGCGATTGCGACGAGAGCGAACATCAATATTGCACAAATTGAAAATTATGGTGGGGAGACGTTCCTATCCGAAGAACTAGCTATAACGATTTTACAGGATACGAAGCATGCTTTTCAAAGATGTCAATTGGTAATTGTGTTAGACTTATGTTATATAAGCGTTCACCTTAAATTTCTTTCAGCTATCAAAATATGAAGAAAAGGCTTCGAACGCTACGTACATTTTAGATCGTTTATTAAATAGTCTATTAATTGAGCACGTGGACTATGCTTTAGAACTTGGGTTGCAAGCTGTTCCCGTAGTTGAAGGTGCGAAGAGTCCGCCGACACTTTACTTCTTCAAAGTTGTTCATCAAGCAAACAACATAACACATCTACTGGAGAAGCAATATACCGATTTGGTTCTACCCTTAGTATTGTAAATATAATAATATACTAAGTATCTGATAAACATCAATAGCTTCTAGAAATACTCCGAAATACAACGATTGCGTTACCAAAAAGAAGTTCGTGATGGACGATATAGAACGGAAAGTGAACAATGGACTTGATAGATCGATGAACGCTATAATCACTTGGGTTAAACTCTATTTGCAGTCAGAGCAGAAAAAGACTGATTATAAACCCGAAAGTGATGATTTTACGATGATGGTTTCTCCAGTAAGTTGAGATTTAACTCGAGATTTATATATTTTTGATGAGAAGCAATATTTTTAGCCTTGCAAAACGGTGGTACAATTTGTAAATACGATGATTGATGAGATTAAGACAACTCTGGATGGTAACAACGTAACGGCAGTTTTGCAGGAGCTTGGAATTGGGTTGCATAGAACAATCTATGACCATATGCTGCAATTTCAATATAACACTGCTGGTACTAAGTTCTTTCTTGCTAATAGATTAGGTTTTTGACAATATTTTCTGAAATTTTGCAGGAGCTATGGTAGCAATTTGTGATTTGAATGAATACAGGGCCTGCACAAAACTGTTAGGCCCATTGGTCACCAAGCTATTTGAAACACTGCACGCATTGTGTAATTTGTTGCTCGTTAAACCCGAAAATTTACAACAAATATGCTCAGAGGATTCTTTGGTAATTTGTTATATTCTCTAAATTAAAATGAAAACTTATGATTTTTATTTTATCTCTAGGTTGAATTGGATAAATCAGTTGTAAACAATTTCATCCAATTGAGAAGCGATATTAAGAATCAGAAGCAGGCAATCATTAAAGTTTAGTTATATGATTAATTTATAAATAAAACTATATTGTACGGTTCGGTTTCGATCCAAATTAATGTATTTATTATCATTCAACTCACATGTTATTTTCGCAATCAAGTTTCTGGTTTATACCATTCCTATCAGTTACATCATATACGGAATACAAATATTTTATTGAGTAAGTTTAAGAAAAAAACTGACTAAAATGAAATTTTTATAAGCGTTATATATAAATAAGATCACATTTAATAGCATTTCTTAAATTTCATAAATGTAGATTTTTCGAATTTTTTTTTTGGAGTAAACGACTATCAATAAATAATCCGAAAGGATGCAGAATTAATATAAAAAGATTAGTCTCAAAAAATAAAAGTAATCTTTTCATTCCCACTAGAATTTGTTTAGAAGGTTTTTTTCACCTACTCTCTTATTCCAATGAGATTTAGTTTGACTTAATAATTAAAAATAAATGAATACATAATAAAAAAAATAGTAATTAATAAGGTTTCGATATTCCACTTGCTATGTTTATAGTTTTCAGCAAGTCAAGGAGAATAAAGGTATTGTTTGCGTGTTACTCTTTCAACGCATTCTATATCTATTGGTTTCGTGAACATCGCCCAATTCTCCTTTGAAATCGAGTTCGACAACAAAGTCCAAGTCGCGATTATTTCTTGGATTTGGTCTCATTTCGAACGTACCGTAAATTTCCTCGTTCTTTTTCACAGTCATATAATCTTCAAAATAGAACACAGTCTGTTTCCAGTGGGTGTACGGGGCTTCGGGGGCCGTGCTGAATCCGACGCGCTTATGGCATTTTGTGAATTCAACATTGAAGAACGTCACAAGAGCTTGAACGTAGTCGTTCCTCCTCACCTGTAGGTGGAACGGCGCTGAGAATTCTAAATCTTGTTTTTGAACGGTGTACAGATCGACCTCCTTGATGAGGCAAGCGTTGGTCACGACCTGCTTCGGATCGACAACGTCGACGAGCGGCTCACTGATTGCAACCTTGCGTATCGAGCTCATGTCGAAACCGTAAACATCATCCCACCAGTTGATTTTCTCATCCTTGTATTGACGATCTTCGATGGCAGTGACGAAAAGCGAACAACGGTCCGGGAATAAAAGGCCTGACGGTGCTAACCACTTGTCTCTCGCATACAAAACCGTGTCCAACATGCTCTCATAGAACAGACAGTAACCCATCCATTCTGATATGATGATGTCAACTTTTTCGATACCTTCAGGCAAAGTGATCTCTTCCACTTTACCCTTGACAATTGTGATAATGTGATCTAATTTGTTGGTTTCTACTATTTTCTTAGCATAATCCACAATGTTAGAGCATTCAACAGCTATAACTTTCTTCGCACCAGCTTTGGCAGCAAACATACTTAGAATGCCTGTGCCACATCCAATGTCCATAACCACTTTACCAGCAAACAAATGTTTATTATGATACATTGAGTTTCTGTATGTGAGAGTCCGTACTTCATCTTTGAGCATCTCCTCGTGAATTCCGAAGTGAGCATAGGAGTCGAAGTAGTAGTCCCTCGATGTCATTTCGTCGGCAGTCACTTCTTCATCCTTTCCTACATTGTTGGTGATTACCGGCGTGGTTTCCATCTTTTCCATGGTCTGAGTCTATGAACGACAGAATAGAAGATCATGTTTCAATGGTTAGAGAACAAAGGAGATTCGACAACCGGCATTTTGTATTTGAAAAAAAAAACGTTGTATAAAACACGTGCAGACGCGATGTTGAAACGCGAGGCGCGATTTTGCATCGATGTAAGATATAACATGCTTAAAGGTCAATAGGAAATTGTATGTAATAAACGAAATCAGTTAGTTACCTGGTGTGTTAAAATATTCGAAAAAGTGAAGAGTACTTTCTTGGCGCCGAAATTTACAAATCAACGCTTCCAAACAGAAACAGATAAATGCTGAAAGAGCAGCACGAGTTTTTGACAATGACACGCTAGCAGGATGACCAACGCGAAGAAAACAAAATCCACTATTGCATCCGAACCAATTTGAAATTTTCGCACACTCACATTACGAACATACAAGAAATTCCATAATTAGTCACATTTGCTTTAAAATAAAAACATTATATCACACATGATTTTAAATTGAACAACATTTAACTGTCATTCATCAAACAAGTACATAATAAAACAAAGTTCTCGTAACATACACTAGGCACGGTAATTAACGTTCAAACAATAAACAACATTAATACTATGAGATCATAGTTAACATAACATGTTAACATAATATGTATGATAAATTACTAGAGGACGTTGTTTTTTTTTCATATTGTTTTTTTTTGTTAGATTCTCATTGCAATTGTGGAGGTTAAGGAAAGGCAATTTTGGATTTGGTGCTTGCATTGGATTGTTGCTTTATTTTTTTGGGGGTCGTTAGACTCACCGGCGGTTGCGGTAATAAAACGCCGTTTTGACAATGATCATCCGCAGATTCGCCAGACGATGCCATTTTGGAGATATTCAATTGGATAGTTGCACGAACAGCAGTGAAGTCGTTCGCGGATCGCGCATTTTCCCACTGTTTTACGCAGACAACCCTCAGACAATTTAAAACTAGCTAACTGAATTACCATCAACTTCACTAGTACAAAGAAACATTTATGTATTAACGAATTTAATCAAATAAACTTTAGTTTTGCTTCAAGTTTTTCAGATTAACCTTCTTAGTTGGTATCTATAAAAAACATAAAGAAATTGTTCAAAAATAAACACAACATATATGTAATAATTAAACGTACTTTTGCTATATTTTTCAGCTCGATTATTGGAGTCAAGGTTGGCCTTCCATGGGCACATTGAAATGGAAGATTGCATTTGCTTAAATCATCTAATAACTTAACACATTCATGTTTCTCTAATTTATCCCCAAACATAATCGATCCTACAAAAAGAACAATTTTTAAACTGAAAAGTAAAACAAGGTAAGAACCAAACCTCGGCAGGCTTCGGAATTGATCACAGTTTGTATAACTTTTGGGATGTACGTCATGTTTTTAGTGTCCTTAAGCACACACAACTCTTCATCTATCAAACAATCCAACAGCTTATCCAAACAATTGTTTGGAATCTAAAAAAAATATTTTAAAATAATTTCAAGTTAAATATAAATTAGTTGTATTATTTACCTTTTTATTAGCTTTATTGTACAAGCAAGTAGGGACTTGATTGATTGAAATCGCGTCAGATTCTATATCGAATTTTAAACCCAAAGCTTCGAATTTGGAAATGTATTCTTTAATAATTATTAAATTACAATCTTTTATTGAAATCACGAGAGGCTGTTTCAAACTAGTACTTTTATATTTACTATCAAAAATGCCGTATTCTTGAAATAAAAAAAATGAATTTAATTATTTTATATTTTTAAATATAATTAATAAATTTTACCTGCATATAATTTTTCAACTCTTACGCGCTCATGAACAGCATGTTGATCGAAAAGTATAATCAAATGTCGTTTCTTTTCTAAAGCTACGATGAATTTAAAGTCAAATTGAGCTAAAACAGTAAGGTTCGTGAAAATGTCTTTGCTGAATTGTATGGAATTAAAGTTGGTCTGATTCGTCATAATTGGTTCCATCTCACTGAGTCTTTTTGATCTCTCTCGGTAGATGTTCTTAAAGAACTCTTTAGGATTCTTTGGATCAATTAAGTTGCTCCATTTGATCATACTGAGTTCATCTTCGTAGCTTTTAATGATTTCCTCGTGTAAATTTTGTTTGCTCGTCAAGCTAAGTAGTTCATCAATGAGGTGAAGCGATTTGGACATGGGTGAGAAACCTTTCGGCAATAAATTCGATCGTTTCTTGATATGAAACTCATTCGAATTTTTGGGATTGATCGTGGATGAAAACCCTAAAGCTAATATTTATTTAAAAATTTAACATATACGTCTTCTTTCTTACCTGTTTTCTTGTTGAAGTAGAATACATTATTGTCCTTAATTGCGAGTTTCTCCCAGGTTTCATCCAAAGCATTCAATTGCGATTTTTGAATTAGATCATCACGTTCTTCTGATAACAAGATTCCGTGAAAGTCGGTTTTCGTTGCACGTGCTGCTTTTCCGTTTTGGCTTAACGTGAAAACTAAATCACTGTCTTCTTCCGCGTCTTGTATTTTCGCATTAGTTTCACCTTTTTCTGTTTCTTGTATCAAAAACGATACATTTATTGAACTCATTCCAATTTGTTCCTCTCCTGCAGCGTTCTTTTTTGAATTAGCAACATCGTCATATGTTACCCAGTTCTCATAAAATGTTTCAGTTAGTAAAGCACATAAATCAGCAGACATTTCATTAACTTCACTTGAGTTATTAGTGCTGATTTTTGGATTATTGCATTTTGATTCAACAATTTCCAGATTGTCTTTCAAAGATCCTACAAATGATTCACTTTTTTGAATGTTTCGTTTCTCTCCGAAAACATTATTTTTATTTGAATCAACGTTCATTTCAGATACTTTTCCAGACTTATTTAAAATATCTATTACTGTTTCATTTTTTAACATAGTATATGTCCTATTATTTGATTCTAAAGGAGAACTAGCAAATTTAATATCAGCGAAAAATTTGGATGCGGTTGAACAGTTCAAATTTGTTTTCACCTCGGTTACGATAAGTCCATTTTTCTCAACGTTATTTTTCATAGATGGTATAGGAGTGTTGAGTTGCGAAGAATTGACATGTTTTATTAATATATTAGATAAGACTTTAATCTTTTTTCCGTAAGTATCTGGTTGAGTAATAAAATCACAAAATTCTGGACAAACTTCAAGATCTTCCAAGTTGTCCCTCTTTGAAACATTCTTTAAAATATTTTTGTTATTACACATTTTAATATCACAAGTTAAATGCTTTTGCCCTGAGAAATTATTAGTTTGTTTTTCGTTTTTCTCATATCTGAAAGAATTACTCACATTTTCCAAAGAAGATTTTACATTCTGATAATTATTCTCTTGATTTAATTTCGAAAAATTTTCATTTTCTAATCTTACATGTTTGTTTTTATGATTATTGGTGTCATTCTTTACTTGTTTATAGGGAAACATTTGCTGTTTAAATTTTATCTTTTCCGTTGTATCTAACTTTTCCTTCCTTTTAATTCCATTATTAATATCACCAGTTTTTCCAAAGTATGTTCTCCTTATGTCATATCTTCGTGTTTTAACATCTGGGATATTAAACATTTTCTTCAATTTAAACATTTCATTTTTTTTCGAATTTTGTTCCAGTTCTTTAAGATTGTTGAATCTGCAGTTCACGTTAAAAGTCAATTCATTCTTTTCGAATTCGAAATTTTCATCGCAAATAATGGTGCGGGTTTTGATCGTGCAAATGGAAAAGTTCATATTGGATATCCGCTTTTTTCGTTTCTTACATTTGGGGGGCTCGGCTAAAAAATGAGAGTTGATGAATTTGTCCATGATGATGGCTTTACCTCGCTTTTCATCCTCAAAATCATCATCATTATTAACAACCTGAGGTTCTTCATTAGGCATAAAAGTAATATTTCCGTAATCGTGAACTCGAAAATTCGTTGGTCTAATCACTGTTTCTTCGCGTTTCCTCTTTCTTTTCATATCCAAAAGAAAACGATTTTGCTTCGGCTTTTCATCTACTATTACAGTTAAATTTCCCACTTCGTTTATGCGAATATTAGGAACTATATTTTGATGCCTTTTCTTATTTTCTATGAGATTTGGACATATGAAACATTGCTTTTCAATATTGTTATTGAATGCAAAATCTTTTGTCCTTCCAAACGATGGATTACCTTGCCAATTAACCATATTTTCATGGCGTTTATTTACGAAATTTGGTTTCAAAATACCATCATGATTTACGATAGTGAAATTATCGGGCTGACATAGACCTAAAGTGTTCACGTTCAGATCGAAATCGTTCTCTGCATCTGGAATCTCAAAACCATCATCTACTACATTCCTGTATCGAAGTCCTGAATTGTGTACTCGATGACCAGTTTTATGTTCAAGATAATCATTATTTCTCATATAATTTTCAGATTTTCGAAAACAATCATTTATGCCAAAGTCGTTAATTTCTTCACGATTGTTATTCAACACATAATTCTCATTGTAGGCTCTTTTAAATTTTTTGGAATTATCGTGATTTATATGAGTCTCATTGCAAAATGTTAAATTATTCATATTATTTTCATAAAATTTCGGGTTAAACATTTCATCTTCCATCTGAAAATTTTCATTAAATCCTCTAATTTTTGGACGGAAATGATCTTTATGTTTAAAATCTTTCAAATTAAAGTTAAACTCATTATTCTTTTTATCTACAATTCCATCATCTTCTCTATTATAACAATCATTGAAATTAAAATTATTATCATCAACTTTACATGCATGTTTTCTGAGATAACAATTGTTTTCTGTCAAGTGAAAATTATTATGTTCTTTCTCGAAACAATTAAACTTATTGTTTTTAACTTGATAATCATTGCTTAAAGTAAAATTATCGAATTCAGCTATTGAAGATCTATTACCTATTAAAAATTGTTGATCTAATTGCGTTAAATTATCTTCAAACAATTGGTTGTGATTTGACGAATTCATATTTGATCCAATAATATAACTTCTATCAAAAATGCTATCATTTGATTGGATTTTTTCGTTAAGTAAATCAGATTGTTTGTCTATTTGTTCTATGTCTTCGCTTAGCCTATTCTGAATGAGATCTTCAAATTGCAAAGAAGATTTGCTGCTTATTTGATTGGAATATATTTTTTTCACATTAGTTTCAATATCTATATTGTTATCAATATTGTCGATATCAAATGTCTTCAATTTTTGTTCAATTTTTGTAGCATTTTGATTTTTACTTCTGTTTAGAATATTGTATGTGTTCTGGTCAAAAGAGTCTTTTCTTCTTCTTTCTAGTCCAACATCTTTTTTCTTTGCTCCATTACTCATAAAGGCGCCATCCATCATTCCCAGACGATAGTTATTGTCGACTTCTTTAGTTAACTTTACACAAGTTTCTTTATCATTTGTTCCCAAACAAATATTTTCTTCCTCGAAGAATTTCTTCAGTATTTTGCCAATACATTTTACAATGAAGTTAAAATCTTTAAATGTTGCCGTAGTCTTCCCACCTTGGTAACACAGGTCTAAATAATATTGTGGACATCTTATGTTCAAGACATATAGAAAATTTGGCTTTTTATTTTGGTAAATTGGGACGGCGTTTAAAATTTCTTCAAATTTTCTTTGTACCTCCGGACACGAGATAGGCCTTTTATTGGCGAAAATGAAACGACCACGGGAATTTTCCCAATTATCTTTGTATATTAAAGCGGAAATCTTAATGTTGTCTTTGGTGAGTTTAATTTGACCTAGTAATTCCGATTTGACTTTAGGGAGTAAATTAATTAGGGCTTCCTCAACAGTTTCAGCTCTTCGGTTTGCATACATCAGCTTCTTATTCACGTCATTTCTTAAGGAGAATGAAACCTTTGGATGGATCAGCGCTAAGCATTCAAGGTTTCTTCGGATTTCGCCTAAATCAAAATTATCGTTCACTCTGCCTTTTCTTACAGGTAGATTATACATGAAGTCTTCTATGGTAACAGTAGTACCAGGAGTAATCCGATCTTGGACTTGGATAATTTGCGAAGTAGTTTCTTTAGTAAATGTAATACTGTATGTCTGTCCGTCTTTAACGCAGCTGCATATTGTTAAAGTTTTGGAGCAATCTCTGATACTAGCTAAAGTCTCTCCTCGATACCCGTAGAACCTAGTGTTCTTTTTGTAATCTGTAAGAGTGTGGCATCTGTTGGTCATGTAACGATCACCAATTAATACCATATTTTGGTTTGAAATACCCTCCCCATTATCAACCACTTGCAGTCTGAACGTTAGCAAATTAACACGTACAGCTATATTGGTCGAATATGCATCTAAACTATTCAAGACCTATATACAATCAATTGAGAAATGATAAAAATAATTAAATTGTAATTGAATTTGGTCTTACCAGTTCGTTGATACATTGAGGAACAGATGTTATCTGGAACCCTGTCCTTAAACTACCTCTAATATCATCTGCTAAACTTTTAACTAGCATTATTGACTTAAGTTTGTGACAATTGACAATGTATTATTTCTAAGCAACTTTCTTATTATAAAAATCAGTTTTTCAAAGGAATGAAAAAAAAAAACAAGGAAAATTTGGAAAATATACAAGTGATGTTTAAAAATAAATATAAATGTAAATAGTTTATTTAATATAAAATACATTCAATAATGTGTATATTAATAATATTTAAATAAGTTTTAAATGTATTGAATACAAAGTAAATTGAGTTGCATAAGCTTTAGTATAGAAGCAACTTCAGTTATGTGGATCAGCTGTGATATGCCAAATAGTAGAATAGGTTTTTAATTTATTACAAGCTTTAATTAAAGGAACAAAATTGTTGGGTGTGCATAAAAGTGGTTGATGCGATGGCAGAGTTTAGTGAAGGTAAAATAATGGAGGGTTTTCTGTGCCCCATGTGCCACACAGATATGAGATCTTCAAGAACTTTGCTTGCACATTTTCAAGAACAGCACTCTGAAGAGCAGGATATCCTGAAGTCTTTAAAAGGTAATGCACCTAAATTGTCTGTACTTGAAGCAAGTTAATTGGTTTCTTTTAGAACTTGTTGGAAAGGCTAAGAGTAAAATTTTAAAATTGGACGATAAAGATTTGGAAACATTCAATAAGGAATTGTCACTGCAGAAGTACTTTCTGGAAAAGAGTGTGCCACAGGATGCTGGTCAAACTAGGTCACACATAGAGTATTTTAAGGAGGTCAGGAGGGAACGTTTAGATCATCGTACATCAGAAACCAATAAGCTTATAATTAGATTGGATAGGTTTTTGAGGGCAGAGGGGACTGACAGGAAGCAGATTGCCCAAAGCTTGGTCACATGGCTGGATGGTAGCACTGTATCCAGATGCCCATCTTGTGCTTCTAGCTTTAACATAACAAGGAGGCAACACCATTGCAGATTATGTGGGAGTATTATGTGCAACTCATGTTCCTGTTTTTTAACCTATGATGAAGCAAGTAAGACGATCTATTGATTCATGTGATATAATTGTTAATTTTCTATCCGATTGATAGGGAATATTATTTCACCAATGTATTTTGATGGTAAGAGCCAAGTACAAAGAACGGATGAGGAGACGTTAAGAATTTGCGTACATTGCGCGAATATGCTTGATTGCAGAAGAAGTCTGCAGATGAGTCAAAATATGCAGCTTCCAATATGCAAGTATTACGAGAAACTGCAGCAAATCAAGTACGAAATCGAACCTAGTCTAGATTTATTTAATAAGGTATGTGCGATTATTCGAATTGAAGAATTATTATTAAATTTGTTTGTTTTTGCAGATGTACAAATCGATAATGTCAGGTGATGTAACTTATCAGTTGCAAGATGCGCAATCACTGAAGACAGCTATTGCAAAACAAGCGGAACTTTTGGATGCTTATGGTAAGAAGATAGCTAGTCTTCCGCCAGAACCCAATATTCCGAAAGCAATTAACTTGCATAACGCAATCAGGAGAGGCACCGCGGTTTTCATAAAAGAACACCTTTTATCACTGCCTGTTTTACCGTCGCCTGCGGAACTGGAGCACATCAAGCAGGAGCAATCTTTGCGTAACGAAGTCCCCAACACGTATAACATTCCTATGAAGCGGGTGGCTGTCACCACCGGATGGTCTCCTGCAGCCGTTGACGCGGCACCGGAGACTTCGGAGGATCCTTTGATCGAGCAAATGAACATTGTAAGGAATTACATAGAACAAGCCAAAAAGGAGAATAGGTTTGATGAGGTCGTCTCCCTCAGGGAGAATCTGGACATGCTCAAGAAAATGTACAGGAAAAAGGTCGGAGCGAACCACGAATAAGTTTACACATTCCTATTATTATTTTATAGCACTTATTCAATGCAATACATTTTATAAAAACCACATGACTATGTATTTGTTTTTTTTTTAATAGATATTCAGGAATTAAACTTTAACAGGATTTTTTTTATAATTACTATTCCTTTTAAATAAACCCATTCTCATTTAGTTCGCACATTAGTTCGCATATTAGTAACTTAAGTTTTTTAAGATTACCAATTCTGATAAGACATTATTTATTAAGTTTTAGTGATCCAGTGGCTTTCGTGCATACGAACTAGTAATTGAGCCGTTATTTTGGAAAGTGGTATAAGTCCATTTTTGAAAAAAATGATTTAATGGTAATTTTAGTAAGATATACATATCCTCATTTTATATTTATAATTAATAGATTGATTGGAGCACGATTTCTTGATAAACTAATCTAAAGAATTTTGCTATATAAAGTTATCGTAAAAATATTATTTAAGAAACTGGTGTAAGTCCATTTTTAATAATATAATAATAATAATTTATTGGCCAAACATTAATACATAAGAAGAAGAAAAAAAAAGTACTATTTATACATAAATAAATTTTAACATATAATAAAAATATATATAAATAGGCTGGCCAAAGGGCTATCGACCGAGGTCTTTCTACAATATCAATATAATAATAATAATATACAATGAACAACAGAAGAATAAGGGGAAAAAAATATATACACTGAGTTGTAGTTTCTTTTTTTAATAATCGAAGGGTGGAACGGAGTAGTTGTAAGGTGTTATTTTGATTTTGGGGGAGTTCTGAATAACCGTGGAGGACATAAGGTTAGGAATTCGGAGATGATTTCTGGAGAAGGATCCGGATTTTGGGAAATGAAGGAGAGAAGACTGGAGTTAACAATGGTTCCGGGGAACAGGAAATGTTATTTTTAATTATATAGGATTTAATAAGGTGGCATTTAGGGTGAAAGGAATTTATGTTGGAATATAAGAAACGGACTCTGCTATCCATTCAAGGGAATTGATTTAGAGGTGCCCTGCGTAGATAATGTGGGCGACTCATGATCTGGATTGTCCTGGTCGAACATAAAAATGTACAAATAGTTCACCGAGAAGCACACATGGGTATCCACGTGGAAGTCATTCAAAAATCGTTTTTTTAGCTTCTGAACCAGTGCAGCACGGTCCGAATGCTTGGGGTTATTGAGTTTGTTCGTAAAGGTATTAATTATATAGTCATGGATTGTTAACGCACCGTGGATCCTGCTATCCTTGGAGATGGCTTTGGGGATTTCTGCTGTTTTCTTATTTGTGGGTTTGATTTTAGCGTTTGGGATACCAGGAATAGGTTGTGTGGGTCTCTTTGGACACTTCGTGAACCAAGCCGCATGGTCCTCTGAATTGCATGCCGCACACTTCGGCGGCAATAGCGAAGAGCATCTGTGTGTCGGATGCGGTCCCTGGCACTTGTTGCATTTAGTTATATTGGGGCATTTCTCAGTGGAATGTGTATACTCTTGACACCGTCCACCGGTGGTGGTGGAGGGATGCTCTCCTCAGCTGGGAAGTGACTGTTTCTATAGAAGAGCTCTTCTCGTAAAAGTTTTTCATATGATGTCGTACAACCAGTGATGATCCTCACTTTGTAAGTTAAGTTGTTTGTTGTTCTAGATGTTATTCGTTTACAGTAACGGTGATTGATCTTGTTATTGTTTAATTGCGTGCTTATTTCGTCGTCAGTTATTTCAAGATCAACTCTTGTGAGGACACTGGATAGTGATGTTTGGTTTATGTGTTTTAACGGTAACTTGGGAGAAGCACTCTCTGAATGGCTGCTTATAATGCCTCTGCCCTGCATATTACTGTTGTTTTGCACGTGTTTTATTTAATCAGAAACCCTGATTTGGTGAGTATTACAATATCTGAACGGTTGCAGGGATTTTTGGACCAAGCGTCCGAAAACTGGGTCCTGGTCATATTTGTTGCGGTTTTTACCACGAAGGTATTAGTGTAGGTATTTCTAGTGGTTTGTGAAGTCGAAGGCTGTGCAGATGTAGTTTTTGTAATTTTCGTTGGAGTTTTAAAAGTATCGTCGTCGTCGTTGGATTCGAGAACTTTTTTTTGTGATGGATTTGTATTTTCGGTGTTTTTGTTTTTTGGCCTGCCCCGCTTTCGCCTCCCCTAAACCCGCACGCCCCCCGTGGGCTCGGAACAGCAGGACGAACCGTCCGAGCTCTCTATCTCCATCACCACCCCCAAGAAGAAGTTGCAGCCCCACACAGACCGCCGAAGAGCCTGTACACGAGGATGAGTAAAAACACTGAGAAACTGATAAGATACGGCAATTCAAACACGTCCGTACTCTACCACGACTCGTGCAGAACTGGCTGATAATATTAAAAGTTAAAAAACAACTTTATAATTGCAATTATTATTGATTATAAGGACTTTAGTGTGCACTGTCTTTTAGATATTAGCTAGTGCATAAAAAATCAAACGGCTCATATGTTATTATAGAAAGTGGTATAAGTCCACTAGGACCTAAAAAACCTATATTTTCTTTAACAATTTTTATTGCATAATAAAATACTGTTAACAGTTTTATAATGTAAAAAACATCATACGACTAACCACCAATATTTTTAAATCGATTTAAACGCAAACCTTTAAATATCTCGATATATGAAAAAATGGACCACTTTGAAAAATAATTTCAATTCATGTTCTACTTACCATTTATAGAAGAAAACCAGGATTTTTATAAAATAAATAAAGTTCGATGTTATATATATATTTTTTTATTTACAAATTATTTATTTAATTACAATTGTTCGAATTATTTGTTAATATTTTTTTGTTATTATTTAATTGTGTTCAAGTTATTTCGTTTATACTCCTAAAACGTTATTTACACCCACAAGTCGAATACAATCCTCTCCTCAGCGATACGCGTCAGAGCTTCTCCCCGTCACTCTTCTGACAATCAATTAATTAATAATAATGAAATTGCAATAAATAATGTGTTATACAACCATGCGTTTCGGTAAATATACAATGCGTAATGTTACATGCTCTCAAAAATCTTTGTTGGAATTAAAACAAAAATAAAAACGAAAACAGCGGTAGTTCGTGTGGAAGAACTGAACTCGTATCACGTTTAACATTCCCACAAAATAATACCGGTCTGTCGTAACGATTAACAAATTGCGCAGAGCAAAATTATTAGACTAAATTACAATATGATACAGTAAAGAATAAAACATATAAATATAATCATAAAAAATAATATTATTTATACAATGTTCATTTTGTAAACGAAACAATCATAGGCGTAATAATTATAATAATAAAGATAAATGATTTTGGTTTTCTATAAAATGCTCCTCGTTCTCGCTTTTGTTCACCGGGTGACATATTCTTTTAGTACATTTTTCTCTCATTTCGTTACTTTACAAAAAAAATAATCACGTTTTCAAAATATTTTGATTAATTCAAGTCGAACGCAAGTCTCTCAGATCTTTCCTTCCGAATCTCTGCAATTGTCCATCCCAATTTCCGTCTTCATTTCTTAGCTGAGGCTCAACTCAAATTATTGCATCGAGGAAACGAGTAAAAGGAAAATACGTTTTCGTGGAAACAGCTGCAGATTCTTTGTTCCCTGTTGAATGCTGTACTTCTTAGAGTTCTTGCACTTTTACTATGTATTATCGACGAGTTTCAAATTTGTTAGGGGCTAGCAGGAAGGCTGTCATCGCTCTCGAGATAAGTCACGTAACTGTCGGTGCTGTCTGGATGGGTCATTGCGTCCGATGTTGGTGCCGATGTCTGCATCATTCCTGGTGGTGGACCCGGGACTGGACCCATGTTAGGCGGCGGCAAATCGTACCCATGCATCTGAAACCAAAAATCGTAGTTTTAAATTCTTTGCACATTGTATTTTTAATTTTCTTCATCCAAATATTACATTTACAGAGATATTTTTTTATTGTTGCAATAAAAAATATTGTTATTATTAGAATTAATAGTGTACAATTTTATTTAATATTTTTTATTATCATTTTGGATAAATTGTAATATTTACCTGGTTGACTAATTGCTGGAAAGCAGGTGCATGGGGTTGATCGAGGTCTGCGTGTAAGGCGTAATCGGAGAGCGCCTTCCATGGTGGTTGGTAGGCTTGCACCTCAAGGGGATGAACTCCCAAGGGCGAATCGTGGCGGACTGGCGAAGATGCTACCATTGGGATTCCTTGCATCGCGCCGTAACCCAATTTACGGCCATCCTGCACAAAAAACTATGTTCCTTTAGATTTCTTTACATTTCAAAAGTACACACTCAAAATGTATTGAAATAAATTTAATTAATTAAATGTTGAAAAATGCATACCATATAGAATATATCGAACATATAACAAACATTATATATAATTATAATCTTTTCCTTATTTAAAAAATATAATCAATATAATTCAAACGCATATAACAATATGATAATTATTAGTATACATTATCTATTTTCTTTATGAAAAATTGAAGTTGCTTATATGTTTGAAATGAATGAACAAATTTACTTTTTCGCTTAATACTATTTTGCAATTATAACAAGAAACTGTTAATTATAATATGTTAATAGGAGCAATTATAAACAAAAATCTTACTTTGATAAAAATATTCAAAATAAAAATGGTAGTAATTCGTCGCCAATTAATATTTTGATTATCATTAATTTGTTATGTTTACATATATAATATTTAGATTATCTAACGTATGTGAATGCATTATTTTCAGGTGTACACGTTTTAATTCTTTGCAACATCTATAACATTTTCATCCAATTTGATATTTTTTCTTTCATTTTAGGTGAGTTGCGAATATGCGGATTTGAGAATGAATAGGATAGGAAGAAAGGAGCAAAGAGGGGGAAAGGAGCTCCAGTGCGAAGCGCGAAGAGAAAAATCAATGTGAATCGCGTACTTAAAGGGGTGACGGCTGTGGGGGGGTGTGGTAGGGTTGCTCGCCGGTCGTCGATCGTTCGCCGCGTGGGCGTATTTAATTGTGTACGAGTTGATGATTGGCGGTTGGGGTTCCCCCACCGACGTTTGCGCAGTGGGACGCGGCGCGATTATTTCCCCGCCTCTCGGGGGATTGGACAATCGGCAAGAATGCAATACGGTCGATGGTGGTGGGGGGTTTGTTCGAACCCCCTCCACGAACGAAGGATGCCGTATGAGGCGGTGATGCGGAGGGAGCGGATATGGTATGTATGTGAGTATGTGCATGAGAGAGAGAGACAGATAGAAAACGAGATTGAGACGAGAAAGAGGGAAAAGCGCAAAACGGTTAATAATAAATATGCAATCTGGTTTCCAGTTGTTTTCATTTCGCACTCCGATCAATAATAGCTCGTACATACTACCAGGAATTGTACAAGACAAAAAATAGCAGAGAACTGGACACATTTTAAATGTAAAAAATAAATAAAAACAGTACGAGTGAAAAATATCCAGTTGAAGCCCAGGACACCTTTATTTTTAGCGATGAATTTATGTTTCCTAACCACTTCATTTCAATTGTTTGAAATATTCTCACAGATTTTTCTTTAAAGTAAACTATAAATAGAATTTAAAGGTGGCAACTGAGATATTTGACAGCTTACAAAATTTAGCATTACTCAAAATACTATACCTATAAATTGAATAAATATAATAAGATAAACACATAAGTTGATGAAAAAAATCGTGAATAATAAGCTAGTAACTTAACAAATTCTTCTAGTATCTGTTCAATAATAAAAAAAAATGATTAGTGACTTCTCTGCAGTATACATGCACATATTAATATTATATTAATCTCATTACAAAAAATTACCTATGCTGCAGTTAATCTTTTATTGTTTTATTATTATTGTTAAGAATGAAAATGTTTGTTTACTGTTGCAATAATAAATATCATTATTTATTTATTAATCGCAAAAACTATTAAAATAATAATAATAATAAAGGCTAATTGCTCAAAAATATATTTTACAGAAAAATTATAAAAATTAAATTGAACCAAAGTATTTAATGAGAAAATATTTTGCTAATTTCTACTTTCCAAATTGTAAAAAAAAAATAGACAATTGAAAAAATGACATATGCGTTACATGTATTTTCCACACAGAATAATAATTCTGCAAAGCTTTGAAGGATTCAAAATAGTGTTGTTTATTAAGAAGGGCGCTTATAATATATGCAATTAAACGTAATTTGTCTGGCATTTGCGTTATATTTCTGAATATTTAAGGGTTATTTAAAACAAAATTAAACAGGAATCACAATTGCATGACGAATAATTATTAAGAATAGAAGGGCAGAAAGCCCCATGCTTTGGTCAGTAGCCCTTTGAAGCAGTTTAATTTAATTTTTGGTATTGTATTGAGTTTATATTTTGGTGATTTATTGTTGCAATAAATATTATTATTATAATTGAATTTTGTGTTTTGTGAGAATGCAATTCGATAAAACTAAATTTTTATAATTTTATTGTAAATTACATTATCATATTAGCTTAAATGGATATTATTCTGAAAATGCATTATTATTTTTAATATGTCACTATTGTAATATAGTGCGTAATTTAATAAATATTTCATTGCAATGAGGAAAATCGTTTTTTAATGTAAACAATTAATTAAGTATATGACATTGATACTGTTGAATTCTGTAAGGAATGTTCTTTTTTGCATTTTTTCACATTGAATCGCGATGTTTATATGCAGCAACGATGGTAATTCTGAAGTTATTCAAAGTATATTTGCATGGTAGTAATGCGTACCAACCTTTTCCTGTTGCATCTGCTGCTTCATTAAGATGGTCTTCTTCTTGTCTTTACACCGTTTGTTCTGGAACCAAACGCGGATGACGCGCGGCGAAAGACCCGTCATCTCGACGAGTTGCTCCTTCATCAGGGCGTCAGGTCTAGGGTTTGCCGCGTAGCAAGTCCTAAGCGTGTGTAGCTGCTTCTCGTTGAGAACGGTCCGTACCCGAGTCGGTTTCCCGTCGCCTCCTGCTGCACTTCCGGATTTCCGGTGGCCACCGCCTTTGTGCGATCCGCTTTCCGATCCCGAATCTGACATCCAGACAACGGCAGCAGCAACAACAACAATAAAAAAGAAACATTATTACAGGCAGTCGACGGATTAAAGCAATTAAGAATTGATGGGTGATTTCGCATGCACAAAGGGCGCGCAATAATCTCGACTGGTCAGCGTTTCACGCCTTTGTCAGCCATTCTCCCCCAAAGAGGACGAAGAGGAAAGGGGATTAAATGACGCGCATGCAACTGGTCCTCTGTGAATATTGCATAAGGCACGGCCCGCTAGGGGATGGGATTAATAAGCCTAGGCTTATAGGGATTTAGTCAGGAACTGGACTCACCGGACATGCATCCCAGTTCGGTGCTGTTGTTGCTGTGGTTGTTGTTGCTCAGGCTGGTGTTATTGTTGCTCTCCGTTCCTGGATGGGGCGTCGTCGGGGCGGAACTCTTATCCATAACGTCGTGGTCCTCCTTGCAGTAGAGGGTGCCTCCGTCTCGAAGCGCAAACTCATCTCCAGGTAGCAGAGGTCTCGCACACGCACAACATCTGAAGCACTCCACGTGGTATATTTTGCTCTTTGCCCGCATCACAAAATCGGTTTTGCTAAACGACGAACCGCACTTGTCGCACTTTGTTCCGAACAGCCTGTAATCAAGAAAACAACAAACTCATCATTACATTTCCATATATATTCAAGAAATGAAAATCTATATAACTTTTACATAACTTTGTCGAACATAAAATATTTATAATTTGTAATTTAAATATTTTCTTTTAAATTACAATTTCAGAAAGTACAAAGCTATAAATATTTATAAATAATCAAAGTAAATATTTTTTTAGATATACAGTTGTTTATGCTTCAGTGTATCTAAATTATGATAAAACTTTCGTTTACATTTACGCACAATGTAGCAAACTTATATAACGGCCATAAAACGCTTATACCTCAGTTTTACGAGTAATTTATTAATAAAAAAGGAAAAACAAATAAATTGAAAGAGAATAAAACTGGTACGACTAAGAGCTACTCCAGAGGCGGACCATTGTGATGCAAATTGGAGGGTTTTGGTTTAACAACGCGGCAAATACACGGACACGATTACATAACTGTGAATGTCATTTGACATTTCCGATCTGACGTAGGTTGGCAGCAGCACCTGTAACTGACGTGTACGTCAATTATCGTTTTTTCTTTTTGTTAAACTTCTGTTTATTATGATTGTGTTGCCTTCTTAATGAATTTCATTTGGTTGCTGCTCCTGCGTTTCGATGCAAATGGGAGCGAAAAGCGGAACAATTTGTGGAAGATGCGATTATGAGATTAAATCATTAGCATACGGCTCTCGTCGTTGTGACAACTGGAACAGCTACCGTGACTGACGATTTGACGCGCGAAACGTGGACCATTTGGGATCCGTTCGGGTCGTTCGGAGACGTTCCGTTTGCCACCAGGACCTTCTTCTTCATCTTCATGTTGTTGTTGTCTTTTCTCCTCGTCGTTGTTTTTGCTTTGTCGACATTTCACACCTGGCCCTACCGCACGACGATTCTATATCCATCCGTCCAATTCGTACATTCCCTTACTGACGGATTATCCGCAACCAAACGGCATCTTACTATTTCTTATGCAATGACATCTTCATATTTACAGCCATACATTAAGTTTTACGTTTTATCTCTGATTAATTGATAATTTAATCCAATGTAGTTACATAAATTTAAAACGTATATATTTTAGTAATTTTTTTAAATATAATATTTATATAGGCATAGGAAATTATAGACACTCTCGCGGTTTGAAACTTGAATGTACATATTACATTATTTGCTTTGATTTGTCAAAAAGACAGATGTAAATGAACAAAAATACAATTTACCTTACGTAATCCCCTTTGCAGTAGGTCTTGCCGTCGCGCACGAAGCAGGTGCAAGACTCGTCGAGAAACATTTGACACTCCTGACACTTCAGACAGGCCGCGTGCCACTCCAGGTCCGGTGCGACTCGCAGGATGTACTGGTCATGGATCTGACCCCCGCATCCGACGCAATGACTCAATCTCCTCGGCTTCTCTGGAATCAAATGGGAAAATCAAAGATCATTGCCGGCAGATAAAACGCCGCGCATCGCGGCAATTAGTAGCCGACTGCCGAATAATGAAGCACCTCGCCTCGTTTTCAGTCGCAACACAGAACATCATCCGCAGGTAAGAAACCTCGGACGAGGCGAAGAAATGCAAATCGGCGCCCGAAGGACAAAGACTTAATGAACCGTCAAAGTCAGACGAGGAAAGGTGCAGACTTAATGGGCGAAAATCAGAAACTCACAGAAAAGTAAAGAAAGATAACAATTTCTCATTATTTACTAATATTTAACGAAAACAACGTCTATGAAGTTGATGATGACATCACCGTAACTTGTGTAATAAATCGCTCGCTGCATCTGAATGCCAATAACTTATTTATTATTAATTTATAATTAAATAAGATCAATTAATTTGTTTCGCGGAAGTCTTTGAAGACCGGTACGTTCAAATGTCAAGCACGTCAATTTCCGAGAAGTAAACAAAAAAGAAACGAAAAACACGAATTAGTAGGTGCTAATGCGATTTGAATTTGCAGTCATCGCAATATTTTTTAACAATTTTACCTGCATATTGATATTACTCATATAATAATCATGCAGGTGGTGTTCAAATATGATATTTCTCATTCATATTCAATTCGTTTTTGTTTAATTTAATTAACTGTCAAACATGTAATTATTCTAAAAACAGAACTCCCAATAGAATAAGCATTTTTAGCTATATATTTGTAAAATATTGTAGCTTTTACATATTATTTAATATAAAACAAACGCATGTGAAACAAACGCAATACTGCATAATTTAATATTTTGTTAGTTTTAATATTTTTGTAGATTTTGGTAGCTTCTACGTTGTTTTTGTATTAAATAAAATATTTTATATATTATTAAATAAATTTCTAAATCAATATATTTTATATAAACTTAGAAAATTATTACAGCTGAATATATTTAGGTTATTTATACTAATTTTGAAGCTTTGTAAAAAAAAGTGAAAAAGTGAAATCGAAGCAAGTTGTGAGCTTGTTGAGTATGTGAAATGCAGATTCAATGGCTCATGATTTTAGCATAAAACGTATATTTGTATTCACGACTGGCACATAGGCTATTGCTTCGTCCTCTTCAGCTATTTTCTCTTGATGGTCGTAAATGGTCGCAAAATTTCCCGTCGCAAATTTCGGAGATGGTGGTGGTTTTCCTTGTAACATTAGTTCAAATGCAATCTCGGGATGAAGCTTTGTTTACGATCCCCATCCTTCCACTTTCCAATCGATGGGTGTCGCAACATGTCTCTCAAAGAGGACTATTAAGGTTTAGTTTATGGGAGCCTGAGGGGCCTCAGGGAGGGCGGCGAGGGAGAAACGATGGTCTCGAAGACCGCGAGCCGTCGACTCCATTTGGCTATCGGCTTGTTAATCTCAGTAATTACGAGCACTTCTATATATACACACAGAGAGATATATACATATATACGTGCAGGAATGAGAGGGAACGGACGGCTTCTACATCACAAGTTCTCCACTTCTTTTATTCCACTTCAATTTGCATATACAATTGGAAATTATGAAAATTCCGCAAGTTTTATATAACGAGGAAAAACGGTAATTGGTTTTATCAAGAGCAATTATAGTTATTGTTATTTTCATTAATGAAAAACTCTTAGCGTTCATTACCTGCTTATCAACGGCTAGTTCTATAAACTCATGTTAACTTAAATGAATAGAATTTAGTACGTTCATTCTCGACTTAAAGGAAAATTAAATTAATTTTGAAACCAAAGTGCACATACCTTTTTACTGACACAAGTAACGTGAATAATATTTACATAAGAAATAAATATATTTTTACTTGTTTTATGGAAATGTATTTTCAATACTATTAGACTTGCTGAAGAACGTTTGCTAGTCAATATTGTTTAAAATGGTTTAATCACTATTCTGCAATGTCAGGTCTTGTACCAAGTATAGGAAATGATCTAAGCAAAAGCGTGCTCAATGTTTCCAAAGGGTTTGTTCTTCTATTCTCCCGTTCTTCTCTGTTGTGTTTTACCTGCTTTCCTCTAACACTCTCTCTTTTAGTTTTAACGTTTTATTTACATAGATGGGTGATGGAGGATAATAAAATGCCACAGTGAAAATAGCGCTTTATATTGGGCACATATTTATGTTGGTATCCAGCCTCTAACAGTTTTCAATGAGTGCTAATGACATCGGCAAACTGTCGAGTCGGTAGCAGTCGGCTTCCTCGGCTTCCACCGGTCACTAATTAACACCGGGGTGTTAAATGGTGGCCGCCCAGGGGGGCCACCGTTCGTCGGCACCTTACATCATCGGAACACACATGAAGGAAGGATAAAAGAGGAGTGGGGACATCTCATGGGAACAACGCCGCTGCAAAACTTAACACCCACGCCATATAAACAACCTCCAGAGGCCCGCATTCCACCCACCTCTCGGGCCCGACCGGTGGCATGCATGCCTTTGGATCGCGGCCAAAGAGCGGATCCAAAAATACCTTCTCTTAACCCCTCCGATTGATAACGTTCCCGCACTATAATTGGTTTACTTAAGGATTACACGGAAAACAGATTTTCATCTCTGCGTTTCTCCTCTTTCGCGATGTTAACATTCGGCTAAAAATACGACAGCAATTCAAGATCTGACAAATTGTCAATGCAACCACATATAATTCAATTTGACATTTACGATACTTGCTACTATATACTACAGAATTAACACCAAGTCTTCTTTTTGATATGTTTTCTTATTTTAGTATATTAAACGCAAACATCAACTTAACACTCACAGCCCTGGGTAGCACCCTAATCATTTGTTTCGTTGGTAGTGGTAATAGAACTTAATGATTGAAATCGTAAGAGGATAAAAAACAGTTCATAATAAACGAAAGGAACAATATATATTTCTTAATTATGTAAGGGAAATAATATAAAATTAATTAAAATAAAGTCAGCAATATTAAATAATTGAAATATTTTCAAGATATTTTTCTACGGTTGATTAATGTTTTATTTAAAGATATATCAAAATAATTGTAAATATGAACATTTATCATTATTTTATATAAATGGAAATGTACAGAATAACAAAATAAACTTTTGAAATGTAATTCAAAGTTGAAGTTATTTTGTATTATATTGTATAGTTTTAAGATATTTTTCAAGAACACTTAAGAATTTTTTTTGTTAGATTACTACACGTGTTGTATTACGATATAAAATATTTGTATTGATTAGTTTTAAAAACATAGTATTTCTTGTAAAATTAAATTCATTTGGACATTATGTAGCCTAAAAGTAATTATTTAGTTAGATTATTCATTATATTAAAAATTAAGACATTTTTGTTTTTAGTTTGAATGATTAATATTGTGAGTGGCGTATTGTGCTCTAAATGTTTCTAGAAGCAGAAGAAGCAGAGTCGTGTATTTTTTTCCGAACTCAGAGAGAAATACAGAAAATCAATTAAGTTTTGTGTGTTTATGGTATGAGAGAGTATAGTCTCAAAGTCGTGTGGTTCTTATTATGAATCACGGCAAATGCGTGTGGAATTTCACATGCACACTCTATATGTGTTTATAAAGAGGCAATGCAATGCATTTGCGGCGTTGACAGCGCATGGTATAAACATTTATAAATATATATATAAATATATGTATGCACGTGCATACGGACGATGTGAGCTTAAGCTTCCTTCCTCTCGTTCCTTCCTCTGGCTTCGGGAAGGAATAAATATTGACGTGGCTCCAAGTTTTCTAAGTGTAAACACACGTTCGGCCGTTGAAAAATGAACAGCGTCGGCCTTTCAGATTAATCGCCGTTCGAGATGTTAAAATATTAATAATCGTTTTCTGTGGTAGATGGAGAAAGGAAATGCGCGGTTTGAAGGGTGCGAGGGAAGATAGGATACCGAGGGTTCCTCCGTCTGTCCATCCTTCCTTCCCTCTGTCACAATTTATGGTAGCCGCTTGAACGCGCGCGCCGCTATCTTTACAGGATCAGGACAACATGGCGGCCCCGAAGGAGCGCCTCACGTCTTCTCCCGTGTAATCCTTTTTCTCTCTTCGCCTGTTACCTTTCTTATTCCCTGCTATATTAATGTTGCTACGTGTTTCACGCTCAATGCCATCCAACTACCTTTAACATCAAAGCGTTTTATTGCAGCCTTTCTCATCGCACAATACTATCGCTATAGATGCGCAGGAATGTTGACAAGAATCAACTAACGCTCAGTTAGATCGATCCTTATTTGCAAATAATTTTATTCGTTTTTGTACCATTTAAATATACAATAAATAGAAAATTAAATCAACAAATGTAGTAAATCAATATAATTCTATGATTTCATATTTCTTGATTATGATAGGATACACAAATAATTAATATTTATTTATTAATTTAATTTCTGTAAAAATAAATACCATAATATAAGGACGATAACTCTTTGGAGTTAACTTATTTGGAGTTATTGATATTTTGGGTTTAGAATTTTATTTTGCAGTTATTTTTGTTTGGTTAATAAATTAATGTAAATACTATTTTTTTTTATTATAAAAATGTTAAACAATAATATTTATTTATAAATAATTTAATTGGATGAATATTATATTTAAAAATCAAAAGATTTTTTTTTAAAGATCAGTGTAAAAATTTATTTGTGTATTTTTCTGTAATAGGTGATTCTAAATATAAATTGATCCTATTAACTTACATCGTAATTGTAGTAAATGCATTGGTTTCAATTGGATCAAGTGTGTGCAGTATACTGAATTCGATTTGATAGGATGTGTCATTAATAAACGAAGATAGATTGTTTTAATTAAGTCTATTTGCAAAATTATTGTCTTAATAAAAACACTTTTTAGATGTGATTTTTGAATGAACTATGAAAAATTTTACAATTACTTTATATACTGGTATCAATTTGCACTTGATAATGACTTTATAGCGTAAACAATCTTTAAGTTTTCT